GGTTTCCCTTGGGGACCAACACCTGTGGGGCCTTTACGAGCCTGGGCTCCGAGCTGGCCTGGCTCCGGCGCCCCCATTAGCTGCCAGGTGCCTGAGGGGTGGCACCCAGGCCCCCTGTGGGGTCCTCCTCCCGCCAGGGGCAGCGCGGCCCCTCACCCGGCCCCCTCACCACCAGGGAGCAGGCAGAAGGGGGCAATGCGCATCAGCCCCGGGGCCCCACTCACCGCCAGGGGCAGCAGCGTGGCCTCGCGGCCAGGAGGGCTGCTTAGCAGGAAGGCCCGGGTCTCCTTGAACGGGACGTCCCTGCTCATCTTCTCCAGGAGCAGCCCCAGGACCTGTGTGGTGAGGCTGGGCTCCAGGGCCAGCGCCCGCCACAGGGTGCAGGTGTGGCTGCCACAGGGCAGAAGGACAGTCACCTCCAGGCCACCGCCGGCTCGGCTCCACACCCCAGATGCACCCACAAGACTCCAAGGGCTCCGCTCCGGGCAGGCGGTGCCCTGACCTCGCATCCAAACGAACCCACCCCGTCCCCCGACCCCGGTGAGCAGCACTGGCAATAAAGGGCAGGGAGAGAAGTCTCGGCCTGAACAGAGCCCCTGAAGTCCCCTGGGAGCTGCCAGAAGCAAACAGGAGGCTTTCCTGCAGGAGACAGCCTCATTCGGCCTCGGGGGCGAGACCCCGCAGAAGCTACAGCTCTTAATACGCTTACAGACCGAAACGACAGACCTCAAGCACCGAATGGGAACCGGAAACTCCAAAACTCGATAAGCGACTTTTAAAATTTATTTGGAGAGAGAGCAGGGCAGAGGGGCAGACAGAACCCCCAGCAGGCTCTGCAGCGTCAGCAGAGCCCAACGCGAGACTCGAACTCACAAACCGTGAGTTCACGACCTGAGCCAAAACCAAGAGTCGGTCACTTAACCCACGGAGGCCCCCCCCCCCTCCGCCCTGAGGTGCCCCTCGATAAGCAACTCTGAAAGAGAACCCACGGCCCTTCGGAAACGACACACGGGACGCTGCGCCCTGCAGAGGCAACTGGCGCCAGCCTGAGCAGAGCAGGGGTGACGTGGGACAAGTGGAAGGTCACGGGAAGAAGTCACCTGAAGTCAGCACAAGAAAGACCACAGTGAAAATTCAGAGACCAGAACCAGAGACGTGAGGGGTGGGGTGACAGGCTGTCCCAGAAGCACAGGGTGGAGAGAGGATCTGAAAAGACAAGGGCTGGCAAGTGTTCAGAACGCACGAGGATGAAGGAAAGCAGGCTGCGGGCCCCTGCCGGCAACAGGCAGGACACCGGTGACAAGTGCCCGGCCCGTGCGCAGCGGAGAAAAGCCGGCGGGCTTCCTTCAGAACGACAGCACTAGTGAGTCCCGTGGGAGCCAGAGAACAGCCACGTGCCCCCTCCCGGCACGGGAGACTGGCCCAACCCAAACGCCGACCCTACCAAAGTAATATCCCCGGAGGGCGGCCAGAGGAACGTGTCTTCCGACGGCCAGTAAAGAGCTCGCCCGCCGCAGTCTGGAGGACCTACTTCAGGTGAAGGAAAGCGAGGGGCCAAGATGCCACCAGGAGAGAGGGACACCGGGGAGGCACGGGGCTTCGCCGCTGGGCAGCCCCGTCCACCTGCATCCAGGGCAGGGCACGGCACGCTTCCGACACAGACACCAACGCGGAGGCGAATGGGTGTGCCACGTTCCGAGAATACTTCGCGTGTGGGCAAATTTTAATCCCGTGTGATTTTCACACATCATGAAATACTCTTTAAAAAATCTTTTTTCTAACCGTTTGTAAGTTTAAAATTCATTCTTGGCTCGCCAGCCGTACAAAAACAGGCGGCGGGTCACATTTGGCCCCCTGCGCCAGGACCGTCCGGCTCCTGGACGCGGCCGGCGTGTCGCCCACAGCTGCAGCGCAGCATGACGACGAGCAGCGGCGCGTGCACCGTGAAGACGGCGCACTACCCCGAGGAAGCCAGGAGAAAATTCTGTACGATTCTGCTTACACTGACTCTGTTTGAGTTCAAGATCAGGCAAAATGCCTGTCTGACGACAGCAGTCAGACAGCGGCGACCTTCGGGTTTCGAGAAGGGCCGGGCGGGAGCCGCCTGGGGGATGGCCGCCTGCAGGCACGGGACGCTGCAGCCAGTGGTGTGGACAGTGTGCGCTCTTCAGCGAGAAGCAGGTGGCAGGTGCGTGAGCAGACCCAGCAGGGGCACCGACGGCGGGCAACACGCGACCCTACCCACCCTACCCTGTCCTGTAGGTGAGGACGTGCGGGGGGGCGGGGGGGGGGGGGCAAAGGCCCGGGCTGCCCGAAGGGAGGCAGTCGTGAGCCAGGCTCTGCGCACACGGGGCCACTCTCAGGGCAACCACTAGAACAGAAAGAGGGCTGACAACTTCCAAACTAACTCAGGGGAAGACCAATCTATAAAAAGAGCCCGTCGGCCGCAAGACACAAGAAAGACGATCAGGACAGAAGACGAGCGGCAAAGAGGGGTCCCCGCTGAGGCTGCCATCCCGTCCCACCACGTCGGTGGGGAGATGCAGCCACTTACGCTGGAAGGACAGACGGACGAGGAAAGGTTGGCGGGGACAGGATGGAAATGCAGAAGGCACTCCCGGGGAGGAGGGGCCGTGACCGTGCACTCACCCCCGCCCAGCGGCACACCCCCAGAGCGGACACGCGTCAGGGAGAATGGCGGCGCCCGACGGCGGGCAGACGGTACCAACCGCGCCGGGGTCCGAGACCACTCCCAGCCCTGCGCACAGCAAAGGCAGGACCAGGGCATGGTCCTCGGCCGGGAGAGACGCTCTCCTGTGAGGCTCGTGGGCGGAAACTCGGGAGCTGGGGGTGTGAGTGGGGGTGCACGGGGTGGGGGGCTGGGGATGGCGACAGGTGCCCTGCAGAAGAGAAGCGGGGACAGAGAACACGGGAAGGAGCCAGGGGTGCCGGGGCGCCACGCGGGGCAGACGGGGCCCTCGAGTGCCGAGTCTGGGCTGACCTCGGCTTGCGGCCCAGGCGGCCGGGACCCCGTCCACCCCAAAGGCCGGCAGGCGCAGGGTACCTGTCAAAGGGCAGGGGGCCGCCCAGGAGGCTGGACACCACGGCCGCGCAGTGCTGGGACGCCAGGAGGTACACGCTGTGCTGTGCGGCCTGCAGGACGTGCTCCTCTCGGGTCTCCTGCAGCTTCGAGCGCAGAACGCTCACGATCTCGGGCACCTGTGGGGCGGGGGGCGCGGGGGTCAGGCCCTGGGCACACCCACCCCAGGAGGTGTTCCAGCGCCATCAGAGCCGCCAGCTGTGAGCCCCCCAGCCAGGGTCACGGGGGGCGGGAATCCCGCGGGATCACCGCCGGCCACCACGGAGAGAGATGCCACGTCCCGGTGCGGGGACCCAGATTCCACGTGGGAGGCCACCAGAGCGGAGCGCGTGCCAGGGTGCACACGGGCAGCGTTCGCGTGACACACGGAGCACGGAGGCCGGCAGCTGCGATGGCCCCGCACGCCCCCACGTGGGGACGCAAGCCCCGGGCCCCTGGAGGCAGCGCGCGGCCACCCTCGCCCAGCAAAGGCAAGGTAAGCGGTGGGCTGCGACAGCGAGGACCAGGAAGGGGACGCTCGTTCTTGGACCGCGGCTGGCAGGCTGCTGTCATCCCAGAAGCGAGAGGGGCCATCTGGTTCAAGAAGGGGCAGCCAGAGCACAGCCCAGGCCCCGACGCGGCAAGCGGGCCCTCTTCTGGGCACGGGCTTGTCACTGCGGGTGCCCAGGGCTCTTGGGAAAGGGGTGCCAGGCCCCACCACGGGGATCGCCTACTGCCCCGGCTGCGCAGCGGGAAGACACCACAGTCCAAGACGACAGCAGACAGACGGCGGCAGGGACACAGTCCCTGGACAGGGACAGCCAGCCGACTGTGGACTCGGCCACCTCCCAGGTGCCCGGGCGGAGCCGGCCGAGGAGCCCACCCGACGGCCGGGCAGCAGGAGGAGCAGGGAGGTACAGGTCTTGGCTCCGACCTAGAACCTTCCAGGCCAGGCCCACGCCTGCTCGTGTGGTAGAGTCTTGCAAGCGTGCGGGGCATAAGAGGTGCGCAACTCGGATGTTAGGAAACGTGGGAGGCCACGTGCCTGGAGTGGGGCAGGCCAGCGGTCCCTACCCGGCCATGGGGACCGGTGTCCTTACCACCGTTTCTCGAAAGGCTTGTCACCACGATGACACTCGCTTCACAACTGTGGGTGCAGCAAGTGGATCCTGCTCCCACTGCCCGCCCTCTCCCCCCCCCCCCCCCCCCCCCCCCCCCCACCCCAGCTGTCGGGGTAGAGAGTGTCCCTAACCCCAGCCCCAGGGCTCTGGCAGGAAGGAGGTGTTTTCCACACCGGCTGGGCCGGGGCCTGGCTCCCACCGATGCAAGAACATCTGTGGGCCCTTCCCGTCCGAGTTCACTGCTGAAGCGGCCAAGGCCAGCGGCGCTCCCCCTTCCCCTGGGCTCCCGGCCTGGACACACGCCTCGCTCGTGCACGTAACGTTCCCGCCCTCCGGCACTAACGTAACCGTGGATCTTCTCCACGTGCGTCCGTCCCAGGGCGGGTTTTCGAGCCTGACCGTGGGGGCTTCTCCTCTTTCCTTCACTTCGCTGCCTCCTCTCCGGGATGTTGGCTCTTTCCCCGACTTGTCTCCTCAGAGGTGTTTCTAATCGTCTCCGTGGGTTTATCTGTCCTCTCTAGCGTTTTCCTCGCTCTTGCGGATTTTCTTCGGCGGCCGGAACCCACTGGGGCGCGTGAACGGCTCTGATCCGTGCGACCCGTGAGCGTGGCAGCAGGTCCCGGTGCTCGGCCGCGGGGGGCCCGCGGGCTGGGGTCTGTGCCGGTGAGCCGGCTCCGTCCGGTCTCAGCCGGGGGTCTGCGTTCCGACGGCCCGTGCGCCCTCCACCTTCCAGGCAGCTCCAGGGCTCACCTTCACCGGCCCTGCGCCCGTGCCCCAGGCTGGTGTCCGCCCCTCACGGCGCGGTCTCCCGCCGTGCGCTCTCTTCACGGCTCCGCCGAGCCAGGACGCGCCACGCAGTCCAGCCCTCGGCGGTCTCTCGTACAGACACAGGGTCGTGCCGCGCGAGGACACTGCCATCACCCCAGAGAAGCTGCGTGTGCGTTAACCACCCGGCCCCGGCCCCTGACCTCCTCCCGGCCCTGCAGACTCACACACTAGGTGGCCTCTGGTGGCTGCTGTCTTTCATGGGGCACGACGTTTTCAAGGCTCATCCACGCGGAGCGTGTTTCATACTTCACTCCTCCGGGTTGCCGAGTAGCATTTCAGCGTACGGGTGGGATGTGTTTTATTTATGTTTATTAACCGACAGACATTCAGGTTCCTTCATTTGGCCATTAAGCACGACGCTGCCGTGAGCGTCTACGTGCCGGTCTTCGCGGGGACGTCTGCCTCCACGTCTCTCGGCACGCGCCCGAGCCGGGGGCCGCCGGGCCGGAGCTGCCGGGAGGCCTCCACAGCAGCAGCCCCGTTTCGTTTGCAGAGGGTCTCCTCCCACCTGTTCCCCTTGGCTTCGCCAGCACACGTCCCTCCAACCCAGAGAAGGCCGTTCTCCTCCCTCCCGAGACGACCCAGGTCAGGAGCCGGCGCCCTCCCGTCTTGCCCTCTGCGCTCACGCTACGACACGCTCTGTTTCACCATTGCTGCACGCTGGGGCCGGGGGCCCTCGGTCCGGTCACGCCGCCCGCCAAGACCACGTGTTCTGATTCCGTGTCGGAGACATTCAACGGTGTCCCGGTGTCCCTAAGAGGGCCCCCTGCCAAGGCCTCTCGGGGCAGGGAGGAAAGTGGTGGCCCGCGTGACCTCCGCGGGTGCAGGATGCGAGCGTGCCCGTCACGCGGAAGACGGAGGTGCGTGTCGCAGACGCGCTGAAGCACGAGCCCGGCCGTCAGCAGTCCCGCTCCGGGGGGCGAGGGGGGTGCGTGTCGCGTCTGTGGGCCGAAGCCGGGAAGGGTACCGTGCAGGCGGCAGCACCCTGAGCCCCCGCCGGCTGGTGCGGCACGCCGGGCCCATGAAAGGAGCCTTTCTCTGTCGGGAACGGGGGCTCCAAAAAAACAAACCAGGCAGAAACTTCACGACAACGGATTTGGTGGTGATTTCTTGGCCATGACACCCAAGGAACAGGCACCGAAGGCAAAAAGCTAGGCCTGCGTCGGATCGAAAACCTTTTGTGCGCGAGGAGGACCTGGCAACTCCCGATCTCAGGGCCTAGGTTCAACGCCCCCCCCACCCCCCGCCCCAGGCATGGAGCCTCTTACAGAACGACGACTTTTAGGTGTCCGAGGACACAATCGAGGGCTACAGAATGGGAAAACACTCCCGGGTCACACGCCCGATACTGTGCCAGTGGCCAGGTCATACAGAGAACCGCACAGCCAACGACAACAGACCAAACAACGTCACTGCAAATGGGCCAAGGTCACAGACAGGTCTCCCAGAAGACAGACAAACGGCCAAGTGCATCGTCAGCAATCCTGAGGGAAATGAAGTCAAAACCACTCTGAGGTGCCACCTCACACCCAGCAGGAGGGCTGCGACCAACAAAACAAAAAACAAGTGTGGGTGAGGGTGCGGGGAAAGGGAGCCCTCTGCACGGCTGGCGGGAACGCGAACCGGTGCAGCCGCCGTGGGAACAGAGGAGGCTCCTCCAAACCTTCAAAGAGGCCTGAACGACCCAGCGCCCCCGCCGTGGGCAGTTCACCCAAGGGCCAGCCGTCCGCACACCCGTTACAGCCGCGCTCACAGCCGGATGGACACACGGAGTGCGGCCCGTGTACCCACGCACCAGGAACACCAGCGGCCCCAGCCTCCAAACTGGCCCGTCCCCTCCACGCGCATGGGGCCTCCGGGGCCCCTTTCTACCACTCAGGTCCAAGCGGGGGGGCCCCCGCTGAGTGCAGAATAAAATCCAAGCCTTCCCCCAGCAAACCCTACCGTGGCCGTGCCCTCCCGTCACACCTGCAGCCCGTTGACAAGTGTCTCCTGAGGGGACACTCTCTCTCTCCAGGGGTCACCACGCACAGCTCTCCTGCCACGTGGCCCTTTCTGATGCTCTTCCACCTTCTCCATCAGCAAACTCCTGTTCGTCCCTCCCTGAGAAGGTACTGGTGACATACACATGTCCGTGTGCCCACGTGTGCGTGCGTATCTCGGACAGAGAACTCGTATCCGGAATATATAAAGTACTGGCACAAATCAACAGGAGAAACACAGACAACCCAGAAAAAAAATGGGCAAGACGCGGGCGTCTCCAGCTGCGCACGGCACACACGTACAAAAGCGTTCAGCTTCACAAGCCACCAGAGAAACGCGAATCCCGCTCAACGTGGAGCCGCCACTCACCCCCAGGACGACGCGGACCGGTGCCGACAACGGCGCGGCCTCTCCCGGCGTGTCCCCGACAGAAACACACCCTCATGCAGCCCACGGCAACGCGGCCCCTCCTGGGAACTGCACGCGTGCCCCCTGAGGCGGCAGCCAGGCGGTGCGCAGGCGCGGGCGACGGTGTGCGTGACCTCACGCCAGCAGGGGCGGCACACGAGGGCCCGAAGGGTGCGAGTCCGTCTCTACGGGGTACGAACCAGCCGGTGCTCCGCACTGCAGGGAGGCAGGGGCAGCCTGCGAGGTGTCGGCTTGGGGGACCAGGGACTCCGGAGCGGGCGGACGCCTGTGCGTGCACATCCGTGGGGACCCCCAGGACAAGTCCGTGCTCTGCTGGGACGCTCCACTTCCAGAGGGAGCCTCGAACCCCTCCCGGTCAACAGGTCCGCCTCTCGGGGATTCACAGGGCGGGCGTTGTAGCAGCCACCCGACCCCCGGAGCCCGCCTCGCACCCGCGGGGACCCGAGCGCGGAACGTGCGTGTCAGCTGTCGCGGCACACGCGCTGACGCAGGGCCGCTGCTGACGCACGACTGGGAACAACTACGCAGACAGACGGCCACCTGAGCTCCCAAGGGCACACAGAGGTGACAGGGTGAACGGGAAGGCCACAAGGAGCAGGCGGCACGTGAGCGCCCCGGGCAGGGCCCCCGTGGGCCAGCCAGCTGTGGGACTCTCCGAAGGGCCCGGAGCAGAGGGCCCAGCCAGTGCCCACCCGCCGCGGGGCTCGGCGCCCCCCCCCCCCCATTTTCCTTCCCCTTCCCCTTCCTTTTTCCGGGCCCCAGCCCGGCCCCTCCCCTCCCTGCCCCGCCCCGCCCCCCTCACCTTCTCCTGGAGCATGCTCCCTCGCTCCCTCAGCAGACAGTTGACCATGATGGTAGCCGCCCTCGAACAGTTCTTGTCCGGGTCTCCCAGACTCTCAAACAAGGTCAGCAGGAGGCTGATGAGTTGCTCTGGCGGGAGGCGCTTGGCAATAATCTAGGACGACGGCTGTGTCAGAAGAACTGAGCCGGTGGGGACACAGACCCAGCATCCCGGGGTCGGGGGCCGCCGGGTGCCTCCTCCAGCCGCCCTCGCCCCCTCGTGGGTGCGGGGGCGAGGTGGCGGCTCACGCACAGGAGGCGCGCCGGGGCCGAAGCCTGGCCCTGCCGGGACACGGGGTGCCTCAAGGACCCTCCTGACCCAGGCCCCTGGAAGGCAGTCTGGGGGCGGCTGCCCTCCTGACCCGTGGGGTGGCCTGCAGGTGTCCAGACTGCAGGGTCAAGGGTGGGGGGTGGCACATCCACCCTGAGCAGCCCAGCCACGGACCGGAGCCCCCTCCTCGTCTGGTCAGCACAGCAGAGCGAGCCACTCATTAAAGCAGACAGCACACAGAACGGAAGGGACACAAAACCACAGACGGCAGCCGCGCCACGTCTGGCCCCAGCCGCACACCTCCCACTCCACCTGGAGTCCCCCAGGGCTGCGTCTTTTCCTCCCGCGGAGTCCTCCCTCCCCACCCAGGAAGGGCCCCGTTCACCCCCTCCCTTCCTTCTTCCGCAGGAGAGCACGCCGCCTCGGGACCCGAGGGCCAGGTCCAGACACCAGATGGAGTAGGAGTGCCGTCCCGGTGTGGGGCTCACAGCGCGGGCTGGGGCAGCTTCCTCGGCTCTCCGGAGCCGGCAGCTGAGCTCCTGACGCCCCTGCTGCTGGGCCTCGGAGGGCTGACCCCAGGAAGGTGGAAGCAGGGCCAGCCCGCTGGCCCCGTGGCACACCCACCCGGCGCCCTGCAGAGCCCGTGGCGTGCTCGGAGCTGGCTGCTGTGACGGCGCCACCCCGGCGGGTACCTGGGCTATGCTGTGGCAGGTGTGGAAGAGGACGGCGGGGTCGGGGTGCACGAGGCCTTCTTTGAGGGCGAGGAGCTGCTCGGCCACATCGTCCCGGTAGTCACGGGAGAAGCCTTCAGAGGCAAGGCAGAGGGAGGCCGGGCAGGTGCTTCCCTGGCCCCCAAGGCCCAGGCTCCACCCCTCCTCCCTCCAGCAGCTCTGTCCAGCCAGGGGCTCACCCTCATAGCCCAGCTGGAGGTACAGCAGGGCGTGGACGCAGCTCACAGCCTCCTGGCGGGTGGCAGGCCACAAGTCCGCGCACCGTGGGGAGAAGAGGCCAATGAGGAGGCCCAGGTTGTGGAAGGGCACCAGGGCCTGGAGAGGCAGAAGGAGGGGGCCCTCGTGCAACACTGGGGGGGACAGAGAGGAGGGCCAGGCCCCCCAAGATGCCAGGAGTGGGCAGGTGTCCCTGCACCAGCTGGACCCAGACACAGGCAGGGGTGTGACCAGTACAGCTCCTCGGTGAGCTGCTGCCCTGCCAGGACCCCTAAGAGGAGGAGGGTCCGGTAGCAGGTGTGTGCAGGCAGAGGGGCGATCGGGAGATAAAGAGGGAGTCCCCACGGGCAGCAGAGGGGGGCAGGGCTCTGCTGATCCTGGCCATGAGGCGTGGGACGTTCCCTCCCCTAGAACACAGGTCCCGTCAGGTAAAGGGCTGCGTGAGATCTCCTTTCGCCCTAGCGGGGTCCCGGGCCCGTCTTCCGGGGCCTAGTCTTCCTGGCCAGATACAGAGCCCTGCCTGCCCCACACTGAACAAACGGCCTCGCGACATCAGTTGCACACCCCTCGGTCTCCTGCCTCCACCTGCCCCCATCGGCCCGCCACGCATGAGGCCTCCTGGGGAAGCGCCCACACCCTGTCCGTGCACAGGCGCCTTTAAGGGAGAGTCAGGCTCCGCTGTTCTGAGGGCTCGGCTGAAGGCCCTCACCCCAGCCGTAGGCTGCAGGGAGGACCTTGGGGGCCAGCCACTGTTCCTCCCAGCGAGGCCAGACATCTGTCACCTCACACACAAAGGTGAACTCTACTTAGACTGGGCTTATGTGAAAAGCAGGCCAGGAAAGAATTTGTGGGAAAAGGCCGCCTAAGCTCGCTCAGAAGCGAAAACCATCCAGACACATGCAGCAGGTCCAGCGAGACAAACAATCAGGCTCTGGGTAGGTAAAAAAAAAAACAAAGCAAAACAAACAAAAAACAAACAAACAAAAAACCAAGAGAAAAGACCACAAGCATCTACTCCTGATAAACATCCTCATTAAGACAGACCAGGGGTGCCCAGGTCGCTCAGTCGGTTAGGCCGACTTTGGCTCAGGTCATGATCTCACTGTCCGTGAGCTTGAGCCCCACGATGGGCTTCGTGCGGATGGTTGCATACCCTGCTTGGGATTCTCTCTCCGCGCCCCTCCTCTCCTCTCCCACCCGTGTGCGTTCTCTCTCTCACAAAGTAACAGATAAACTTAAAAAAAGAAAGACACAGCTGGAACAGGATAGAGAATGCCTAGCAGTGCAACTATCTAGAGGCCGGGGGATGCTGTCAGTCCCCACTTTGTTCTGGAAACACCAGGCAACACGAGAGGCCGAGAGGCACAGGGGTTGGGGGGAAAGGCCAAATTATCAGCATCTGTAAGCGACACGACTGTGCTTCTGGAAGCACAAGAGAACGAACCAACGCTCATTAGAAACGACGACGGGGTCTTACGAACCGCCTCGCGTCTCAGGGTCCACAAATCCACGCTTTCCGTGGGCACTAACTACAGTCAGACAGTTACTGACAGCGCTTGCAGAAAGCGCTTCACTGGCAAAGGCACCAAAATCTCTCACAGCAGAGCCGTGTGAAGATGCCGTCCCGAGTTTCCGAGCGGCCTGGGTGGAAAGACCCATTACTGACGGATGCTCAACAAGTTAATCCATCGGTCCCACGCAATCCCTACCAAAATCACAACAGGGATGTTTCAGGACGACGCGAAATTTATCCGAGGATCACCTAGACCAACGGCCTTGTGCGCACAGCCGCGAAGCCCCGACAGCGTGCCCTCCGCCCCCCCCACCCTCCCCCCGCAGACGCCGAAGTGCCAGACAACCACGCGCTTCCCGGACTGAGCCCCTTCGCAGCCCACCCCTACCGCTCCAGACCCCCTGCCTCTGCCCAAACGTCCTCGCTTTCTTTTACCCCGCCCCCACCTCCCCTTCCCCGCAGCTGACGCGGGGGCTCCCGAGGAGAGGGGTGCCCGTCAGGTTTTACTCTGAGTGGCCAGCCCTGAGGACGACTCCTGGTCCTGACCGGCCCTCTGTGCACGTCTCCGGAAAGAGGATGGTGGGGCCCCCGGAATGTGGAACCGCCAGAGGAGCACCAGGGAGGAGCATCAGGGAGCTGGGAGGGTGCTGTGGGACGTGGGGGGCCACACACAGCAGCCCCCAGGCCAGGGGACCCAGGACAGAGGCCGGGGCAGGGGAGTCGCCTGGTACTCACGCTGACGTGCAGGTGCTCCAGGAAGTGCTGCAGCAGGCAGGCGCTCAGGCCCAGCGCCCGCACCCTCTCGTGGCCCCGTGGGGACCTGATCCACGGGCTCAGGTGCTGGGGGAGAGGGGGCTTCGCATGGGTGCCGGGGCAGGGGTGAGCCCGGGAAGCAGCAGCCTGCGCGCTGCGGGCGGCTCAGCATCCCTGCCGGGCCGCCCGTCCCTGGCCGGCGGGCCAGGTCACGGCAGGTCGCCTCCGACAGCTGGGGCCCTGTCCCCGTCCTGTTGGCCCAGCCCACAGACGTGGCCGCCCCAGGCGGACCGAGAGCGAACCAGGCCTACCAGGGGACGGGCCGCTTTTGCAAGCAGGTCAGTCTCGCCCCTGCAACTGCAGCGCCGGAAACGGCAGGGAGGGGTGCGGCTTGGCTACCACGTGCCCGCTCCGCCAGGAGCCCTAGACGGCCAGGAGCTCACATCCGGTGCCTGAGTGGTGTCTCCACCACCGTGTCACGCAGTGGAGGGGAGGCGACGATAGGCTCCTGTGTGGGCCCACCCCCATCCGCCCACCCGTCCAGGCAAGGCAGCCCTCCTGTTCACAGACGCCCCTCCCATACACTGGCAGAGAGCACCAAACTCCCCGGCGCCCCCGGAGCAGGCAGCGCCAGGAAAACCAGGCATGGGGCTGGCTGCCGGGGTCGGGGGGGCACCCCCGGGGCAGGGCACACCCACCGCACACCTCCACCATGATCTGCAGGCCCTGCGGGGTCATGTTCCGCCGAAGGAGGCTTGTCAGCAAATCCTCAAGGGCGTGCATGGTGTCCAGGTACAGGGACTTAGAAAGAGATGAGGCCACCAGTGACCCTGGTGCCTGCAGCGGCCTGCCCGCTGCCCGCCGTGGATGCAGGGTGATACCTTCTGGCGGTCCTCCTCCCCCTCGGGCTCAGGCAGCACAGCCATGACGCTGTGTAGACAGCCGCGGATCAAGTCCGCCTGCACTCGCTCTTCCAGCGCTGGCTCCAGGGAGCTGAACCGCAGTCAAGGCCCCGTGCCACACCCCTTGTCCAGAGGGCACGTGCACAGAGGGCCCCCCACAGCCCCCCTCACACCCAGAGGAAAGGATACACCAGGTAAGTGCAGGCAAGCATGGCCTTCTTCCGAATGGGCGTTCTCAGGGAGTCTGGGGGCTCTGCCTTGATGAACTCCTAGGGGAGCCAGCCCCGTGACTCAGCCCTTGGCCCAAGCACCAGCCTTCCTCCTGGTCAGCCATCTGCCCGGCGCTGGCTTCTGGCCAACTCTGTCCCCCAACCCAGGTGGGTGCCGGGCCCCTCGTTGCACGCCCCCCCCCCCCCCCCACTGGCATCTCCAGGCCCAACTCCGTCTAGGGCCGCGCCCTGGGAGCCACCCTGGCACCGGCCGGGCCCCGCCCAGAGCTCACCATCATCTGTGCCACCAGCTCGGCTTTCCTCGAGAAGTGGAAAGAGCCAGCTTGGGCACTGCTGCAGATGGCCTGGCTGGCCATGCACACACTCTGGATGAGACACAGCTTCAAAGCCGGGTCCTGGAAGGACACAGGACTGCAGGGGGGCCACCAACGCCCGCCCCCACAGCACAGCTCTGCCCCGAGGTGGGCGGCCGCTGCCTCTCGGCCCTCGGGGTGGAATCCAGAACAGGAGGCCACCCAGAGTGACAGCCCTCAGGCCCCGCAGCCACACACGTTCCTCCCCGAGGGGCTCTCAGCCTGTCCCCCTCCAGCTCTTGCCACGCAGACCAGGGGGCCTGGAGCCCCTGCGGCACTCAGCTCTCCGCCTGGCTCGGGCAGACAGCACGCTGTGTCCCCTGCACCCTGGGGTGTGGCTGGAAGGGCATCTCAAGGTGGGAGAAGGGAACACACCCAAGAAGAGCCCCGGCAGAGAGGGACTGTCCCCTGCCTGTCCCACCGACTTGGCCTCTGGGGAGTCAGGAAAGGGGGCGTGGGGAGCTGTCCTGGGGACACGAAGTCCAGGAAGAGACAAGTCTCAGAATACCCTCCCCTCCAGCCAACCCCAGGAGACCCCAGAGGGTCTGCTCTTCAAGGGGAAGGCCCAGCCACTCCTAGAGAGGTGTTAGTGCCCAGTTAGTGCCAGAGATCCCAGGGAGGAAACACGTTAGTGAGGCTCAGCAGGAGGTGGGTGTCGTGAGCATCGGGGAGCAGAGCCCCAGCCTGTGGGCCTGCCAGCCAGCTGCTCAGAAGCCCTCCGGCCATCTTCTGCCCACCCACCACCCAGCATCCAGGCCGGGACACACTAGCTCCTGGGCCCCTACTGTGGCTGTAAGAGGAGAAGCTGCTCCAAGGTGAGTGGGGACCCGTCCTGGCGCGATGCTCCCAGATGCTATCCCTGGGGACTGGGACCGGGGAGCCCCGGGGGCGTCCCCCTGGCTTCTGCCCCTGAAGCTCACAACCAGGCCAGCCCAGAGACAAGAGAAAAGGCATAGTTCACACTTAACTCCTACACACTGTACCTTGGTCTCTACCTTTATTCCCAGAACCTGAACAACAAAATTGAAGGGAGTTAAAACGCGAAGCTCTGGCGGTGATGTCCCTGCCCCGCCTGCATGGCGCCCCCCACGCAAGCAGTCTGCCGAGGCCCCCACCTTGGTGCTGAAGTACTGGAATATGTTCCGGAGGATGTCCGACTCAACCTTGGCCAGCACCAGCTCGCGGGGGGCCCGTGCTGCCACGTGGCCGTAACACAGGATCAGAGTTGACTTCACCTTTTCCACATCATTCTCACTTCGGTCCTGAGAGGCCAGAGGGGTCGGCAGGGCCTCGGTTACAGGCCATTACCTTCCCCCAATAGGAAGCCTTGCGCTCAGAACCCCCAGGTCCCTCTGGAAGAAGGGCTGAGCTGGCCAGCAATGTCAGAGGCATAACCGAAGGAGCGGAGGGCGCCATCGGAGAGTCCCTCCGCCGGGGACAGAACGGGACAGGCAGGCCAGCCACGGGCCCGCTGGGGACAAAGCAGCAGAAGGGAAAGCACTGAGCAGTGGACCACGATGGCAGAGGTGGGCAGAAGGGAGGGCTGGGAGCTGAGAGCCAACTCGGGGGCCGGGGCAGGGGGGGCAGGGGCCCCTGCCCTCTCAGTGGCTGCTCTGGAGCCCTCCCACCCGGCCCGGACTTGAGATTCTGTAACTGCAACAGGCACCCGGAGACGAGGACCAGGGTGGCGGACGGGGCAGTGGTCCATGCCCCTTGCATCAGGCTTCCCCAAGAATGCAGCCTTCGCTGGCCACCAGGGGGCAGAGGACACGCAGACAGCAGGCGGGCGGTCCCATCCTGGCCCCTGGGAGCCCCTCAGAGCCCATGGCCAGCACAGGACTGCCCCTTGTCATAACCACCAGCCCCACCCACAAAGAAGCACGGACCGGATGCCACCTCCCTGCCCTGTCCCCAACCGGCAGGGTGCCTGAGCCCAGGAAGCTCCAGAACCCGCAGCCGCAGGACCCCTAATCACAGCAGCACAGCCAAGACAGAAGCACGGCTGGTCCCACCCAGATGCCCCCCACCACCGCCCCAGCGGTCACCCTGACCCCTGTACCTTAAAAATGTTGAAAATGCCAGTGGATCTTCTGAACACATCTGACCTCATGAAGTCCTCCAGCTGGGCCAGGACATCATCCAGGTGAGAGGTGGCACAGATCCCAAAGCAACAGGCGAGGCCCTGGGAGACGCACAGATGCACTCACACCTGGGCAAGGACAGGGGTGGGAAGGAGCACCCTGCACACGCACACGCTCCAGAGAGGTGCAGTCACACACGCACGCACACACGCACACACGCACACGCTGAGTGCCTGAAGGGAGAGAGAGGCTCTGGGGAGGGCACCACCTCGCGCTCGGCCTCCTCCTGGTGTCTGGCCGTCTCCAGAAGCTCTTGCAGATGCTTCCTCACCACCTCTTTGCTCGAAGCGGCACCCAGCGTGGTTCCAATACATTTATACAGGAAGTTCTGCAACAGGGCCAAGGAGCACAGCCACGCCTGACGCCTGAGTGCGGGAGCGCCAAGCAGACGTGGGAGGGGCTGCCCGGCACCCACCGCGAGGAGTGGGGGCGACGGGCTCCTGCACCCCCAGCCGTGGGCCTCTGGGAGGAGGCTCACGGGCCCTCCCTCTCTGGCTCTGCCAGGGCCACAGGCCACTGGAGACAGGTTCGTGCAGAAGATCACGTGGAATCAAGGCAAAAGAACAGTAGCCTAAGGACGCTGCCCAGAACCCCCCCCCCGGGGCACCCCCTCCTCCGTGCACCTTCTCCTGGGGCGTCCCGTTGTAGCAGGGCAGCTGTCTGCACATCTCTAGGCTCAGCTGGCAAATCCACGTGTTGTCAGACACGACAGCCAGAGTGTCCCGAAGGAACTGTGGGCAGGGGCCAAAGCAGTGAGGGGCCAGGGATGCAGCCCTTCACGGGGCCGGGGAGGGCACTGAGGCCCCGTGACGTCACGTGCAGTGACCTCAGGGTGGTCCTGTGCTGTGGCTCTGAATGGTCTGTTGATGACCTTCAAGCCCAGGCAGAGCAAACCCTGGGTGGTCAGACATGCGGTGGGCCTGGCAGGGGACAGGAGAGAGGACTCCCGGGCCACAGAAGCTCAAAGCCCCTGAAATCTGGCTCTGTCACAGCAGGGTGAGTGACCTGTGAGGGCAGCAGCAGGTGGTTCCCCCCAGCACCCCCCATAGCTCCCCCATCCTCCCCCACCCCCCACCCCCCCACTGGCGCCTACTGAGCTCCCTGAGCTGTCCTAACCCAGGCTGGAGAGGCCTCCGCCCCCAGGACCGGCCACGACCTCCCCGCCCCCCCCCCCCCGCCCCCATCCTCACCGCCAGCAGCCTTTCCTCCCACTCCTTCTGGGACAGGGTCTCTTCAGTATGTTCTGAAACGACCAGTCATGTTGTCAGCCCGGCCCGCACCCATCGATAGAAGCAGAGTTCACCCAGAGCCTTCCGGGCTGGCCTCGTCCTGTGTTCAGGAGGACCAAGGCGCGCCACACCCCAGATAACTCCCAGGGGACACCCTGCAGGGAACGCCTTTCCCGCCTTGTGTCCTGAACCTCCGTGGGGGCCGTTTCTTCCACTTCAGAAAACGTGGTCTCTCCAACCCGGATGCAAACCGGCAGAGGAACACCACCCGCGCCCGGAGCCTCACCATCCAGGTGTTCCAGCAGCAGGGGGACGGTGGTGGCCCACCGCTGACCCAGCAGAGGGTGGATGTTACGATGCAGGACGCTCAACAGACGCAGCGAGGCGGCCCCGCGGCCGTCCCCCAGGTAGGGGTTGGAAGACACGGTCTGAGGGAAGTAAAGGTGGGAGCTCTAGACCCGAGGGGCCACCGTGCCCCGCAGAGCCGCCCTCCCGGGGAGGTGGAGGCAGAGACGGCTCTGAGACGCAGGTCCCCCCAACCCCATGGGGAGCACCTGCGAGACAGCAGGAGTCAGGAGACAGGGGGACCGAGGGGAGCGCCCAGGCCTTCCCAGACCCCCTCAGTGTGCCGTGGTCAGGGGACACGGCGCCACCGGCACAGAGCGCCGAAGCGCAACGCTTACCAGGAGTCTCGTGGTGATGGCGTAGGGTGAAGGGAGGGTCACTGGAAAGGACGGGGGAGAAACGCTCAGGGGGCCGCCTGCCCACAGAGCCCCAGCCCCTGACTGCACCTGGGGCGGGGCGGACTTGGGGCGGCTGCGAGGGTGGGGTCAGGCATCAGGGGTGGCACGGGGAGAGCAGGGGCGCACCGTTGCTGTCGTACTGGATGAGGAAGGCATCGGCCCCCACCTCCTCCCTCTTCTGGGCCAGGTGCACGAGGCTCCTGCAGAGCGGGGTCAGCGCCCCAGTGAATCGCACGGGGGTGAGAAACTCGAGCAGGTGCGGCCAGAGGACCTGGGGGCAGAGCCGGGGTCTGTCGGCGGCGCGGCTACAGGAGCTCCCACCAGGCGCCGGGGGGGCGCGGCAAGGGGGGGGGGGGGGGGGGGCGGCGAGCGCCCCTGCCCCCGCAGCTGCCCACTGCAGGGTTCAGCGGTCGCAGGGCCAGAAGGTCAGGAGGGGGGAGCGGTCACTCACAGAGGGGGGTCTGCACACTCACGTGGCTCATCCTGTCCACGGTGGTGCTGACCAGGTAGAGGGTGCTGATGCTGATGTCCCGCACACTGTCCGTGGCGGGCTCCTCGCTGTCGGGACCCGGCTTCTGAGGCTGGTGTGGGGGGGGGGGGAGGGGGCAAAGGCAGGCGCACGCATGGGGCCACCACCGCTCTACGCGGCTGTGGGCTCTGGGCCGTGAGGACACGGCCCGTGTGCGAACAGGGCAGACCCTGTCCGGCACCTGCCGGGGGCAGGTAACACACACTGCGCTGAAACTGCCCAAGGACGCGGGCTCGCCTGGCTGAACTCTCGTCCCCAGAATAGAGGAAACCTTGCACGTTCCCCGCCAGCCGCGGGCTTCGGCAACGCTGACATGCGTAGAAATGGGAGGGCCTTGGGGCGCCTGGGTGGCTCAGTCGGTTAAGCGGCTGACTTCGGCTCAGGTCACGATCTCACACTCCGTGAGCTCGAGCCCCGCGTCGGGCTCTGTGCTGACAGCTCAGAGCCTGGAGCCTGTTTCAGATTCTGTGTCTCCCTCTCTCTGACCCTTCCCCATTCATGCTCTGTCTCTCTCTGTCTCAAAAATAAATAAAGGTTAAAAAAAAAAAATTTTTTTTTAAAGAAATGGTTGTGGAAACAACAACCACCTGAGAAGACTCCCATTTTCTACCAAGAACAGGCTGCAACTTGCGCAGCCTGACGCGGCTGACGGTTCGGCCAGAGACGCCTGCTGTCCTCGCTGGTGAGATGGCGCCCCAGAGCCCAGCTCCCTGGGCAGGTTCCAGGCAGGAAAACGACCCCTGTTCTCTAAATGTTCTGTCCGAGCCTTCCGTCTGTGCTTTCAAATACCAAGAAGCAAGCACCGAACAGCCAAGAGACAGCAGAACTTCGACGACTGTAGCAGACCTACAGTCCTCACGCAGACATCAAAGGCCAAAAGCAGAAAAACTAGGGGTGCTTAGGCCTCGAATGACAATTTTTAAAGCATGTTCTACAAACGTAGATAGAACTTCATACTGAACAAACATGAACCACTTTGGAGGTCTGATCATCTGCTAGATCAAAAGGACAATCTCTCAACAATCTTTTTTTTTTTTTTTTTTTTTTTTAATGATTTTGCTTTTTTAAGTAACCTCCGTGCCCAGTGTGGGGCTTGGACTCACAACCCCGATATCAAGGGCGGCTCGCTCCTCCCGACAGAACCCGCCAGGTGGCCCTCCCAACAGAGTCTCAAAAGCAGGAATAAACCTGGTTAGATTCACAAGAGACAGTACAATAAAAGTACAAGTCCGCAGTGGCCGCAGAAAGCTACTCACCTGGACAGATTTTAATATCCTAAAGAAACCTTCAAATCCCCAAAACACTGGGAACTAATAGGCTACACCAGAGGACTTGATTCTCTCCAGCTTAGGCCCCACAGCCCCAAAGCGGCGGTGAAAATGCAGAGGCCAGAATCGGCCAAAGCAGCAGTGGACCTGGCCCCCCACAGGCCTGCGGGAGCAGCGCCCAGCGGGACCCCCTTCCCGAGGGCCGGCAGCATCCACTAGCGCGGGTTACACCCCGGCATTTCAACTTAACCACAGAGGCCCATGTGGGGACATACGTGTCCCCTCTGAGCTGACCTGGGCAGGCAGGTGGCTCTGTGGGCACGAGAGCCCAGGCCAGGGCGGGCTCAAGGCCGTGACACTGAGACCACCCCGTCATGCCTGCGTGTTCCTGCCGTCAACCTTGCTCTCCCTCGAGAAGAAACTTGGATTTGCTCGGTAACGCTTTTAACACAAAAGCCCCAGGGAGGACCAAGCGTCTGTTCTGCCTCTCTTCTGAGTGCTGGGAGCTAAGGAAGCGGGGCGCTGCGGCTTGGAGGCCCCACCTCAGACACAGGAGACAGGTGCTCGGCACGCGGACCGAGGCCCCGCGCACGTACCCACCCGCCTGCCCTCTGGCCAGGCCTGCTCCCAGGAGGCCGCCAGCTCGGGAGCCCCAGGGAGGGTGGGTGAGGGGCCCGCCCTTACCTCGGCCTCGGGGGGCAGCGCACACTGCTGCACGATGTACGCGACCATGGCCTCTCCTCCAGGCTGTTCCAGGTAGCCGTGGTGTGCCATGGCACTGATCACCTGCACCACTGCCCGCTTCACCTGCCCGGACCCGAGGGGGGTCAGGGAGGCGCCCCGAAGGGAGCCCTGGCCGGCACCACAGCAGTCCAGCCGGGAGGGGGGAAGCTCTCCCTCTCCTCTGCCTGTGCCCGCCCCTGCAGCCACACCTGTGCCACAGCTAAACGTGCACCTGTACCGGCACCCATGCCCACACGGGATCCGCCTCGGTGCCTCGTCCTCCCTGCCCCGCAGCTGCGCAAGCGGCCCTCCGGCCAGCCTGTGCGCACGCTCACGTCCTCAGGGGAGGGCCTCCCACCCCCCACACCTCCCCCTTTTCCTGGGCACTGGACATGCTGCTACTCTGGCTCTAGACATGCCTCCCCTCTGCCCCCCGCCCCGCCCCGGCGCAGGACTGCTGTCCCTCAGGGCGGGCACCTCTCTGGTGCTTCGGGGCGAGGACCCCGAATCTGCAGCTGTTTCCCAAACGTTCCTGGGATCGAGCCCGCTGCCCAGCCCCACCTCAGTGGCCCTGCCTGGTGGCTCAAAGGCACAGCCAGGTCACCGTGGCCGAAAACCCTCTTCCCCAGAGCCGGCACTCTCCCCGGCCCTCCTGCTTCTTCCTGTGGTGCTGCGGAGCCCTGGGGCACAGACCCTGCTCTCTAATGCCCCCTCCCTGGGGTCCTCAGGTCCTCACGACACCTCTCCTTTGCACGTCAGGTCAAATGTCACTGCCCTGGGCCTCCTTGGCCACTCACAGCTGTGTGTCATCCCCCGTTATACGTGTGCCCCGAGTGACTGTGGGAAGGGGCAGATGTGGGCGAGCAAACAATCCGGTCGCATAATGAGCGCTCGGGATGAATGCATCTGGCCACGGGCACTGTTGGTGGTACACGGTGTGGCCCTCTCAGGGGTGTCCCGGAGCAGCATCAGCGAGCAGGAAGGGATTCCAGGGACTGTGCATGGGAGTCTGGGACACGTGTGGCCTCAGTGGTTTGGGCTCCATTTTGGTAGTTTCTAAAATCCTCATGGAAGGTCCCAAAGAGCAGGCCTGACGATGGAGCCTGGTTAACCTGGTGTGCAGGAAGGGTCGCCCCTGCCCTCGGCTGCTGGGAGGTCACCACCAAGCCCGGGGACATCCAGAGTCCAGCGTCCTTGTTTCCCCGGGGCTCTGGGCCACACGGGATCGGCTCGGCCTCCCGAGGGGCCGGAGACTGAGGTCAGCCACGCGGGCAGTGAACCGGGTCTACGCGACGGAAACCAGATAAAGGCCTCGCACGCCGGGGCTGGGGGCTTCCCCGGTTGGCGACGCTGGTGCGTGCCATCACGTCACTGCCAGGGGAGCCAACGCTGCCCACGACCCCGCGGGGAGAGGGCGGTTCGCACCCTCCTGGGCCCTGCCCGGTGCGCCCCAACCCCTGGCTGATGGTGGTGTGTGTCCTTTCCCCGTGATAAACCTGACTGCGAGCGTGACGCCCCCCGGGGGTGCTGGGAGTCCTCCTGGAGGACGACCCAACCCGAGGGGGTCCGGGGACCACTGCCCCACTCCGTGTCTGGTTAACTGTATAAGGAGTAGGATGTGGCGAGTCAAGGACTGACCGCTCAGTGGTGTGCCCTCCCTCTGATGTCTGGGTGTGGCTGAGGGGCTGCTGCCTGGTCAGTGACACCTCCCAGCCCAGCCCGGCCACACTTCCTGCAGCTTCTCGCGGTGGAGCTCAGGCGGCACCCCGTCTACCTTGCTGTTGGTGTCCAGAAGAGGAAGCCTCATGGAGGAGAGAATAAAGGGCTTCTTCACTTCCATCTGAGAAGCTGCAAGAAACCAGCAGAGGGCTCGGTCTCCCCAGCACGATGAGGCTGGCCGGCCCGCCCACCCCCACAAGGCCCAAGACCTCATCAACAGGGTCCGGCTCAGCATGGCCCTCAGCATGGGGAAGGGACGGTGCCTAAGCACAGCCCGCCCACTTTCTGGGGGACAAATGACCTTCTTCCCAAATAACACTATTTTGCCCAATAAAAAGCTAGAAGATTGGTAATTTAGGGCAGCAGGCGAAAGAGTGTACTGAGTCAGGTCAAGCCAGGTTCAAGGGCGGGGCCTCCAACAGCACCCCAGTCCCAGCAGGCCTGGTAAAACCTGCAGGTGCACACATTTCCAGTTTTGCTCACACTGCTGGTCTGAGGACCCCACCTTGAGAAGCAGCAACATAACCCTCTGTTTCCTGATACACGTTTTTTAAATGTTTGTTTGTTTGTTTGTTTGTTTATTTATTGTTTATTTTTGAGAGAGAAAGAGAGAGACAGCGTGTGCAGGGGAGGGGCAGAGAGAGAGGGAGACACAGAATCGGAAGCAGGCCCCAGGCTCCGAGCTGTCAGCACAGAGCCCAACACGGGGCTTGAACTCCCGAACCGTGAGATGGTGACCTGAGCCGAAGCTGGACGCTCAACCGACTGAGCCACCCAGGCGCCCCTAAAGGTTTTATTTTTTTATTTTTATTTTTTCTATTTTTTTTTTCAATAACGTTTATTTATTTTTGGGACAGAGAGAGACAGAGCATGAACGGGGGAGGGGCAGAGAGAGAGGGAGACACAGAATCGGAAACAGGCTCCAGGCTCCGAGCCATCAGCCCAGAGCCCGACGCGGGGCTCGAACCCACAGACCGCGAGATCGTGACCTGGCTGAAGTCGGACACTTAACCGACTGAGCCACCCAGGCGCCCCTGGTTTTATTTTTAAATAATCTTCACACCCAATGTGGGCCCTGAACCCACAAAACTCCAAGATCAAGAGCTGTACGTGCTGCTAACTGAGCCAGCCGGGCGACCCAGGACGGCACTCTTCTTCCACATGACGACCCAGGAGAGAGGTCACTCCACTCCGACCCCTCTTGCACCATGAACCTGGGGCTCCCGGGCCGCTTCTGGCCCGGGCCCCTGTCGCACACGCCCGCGTCCAGCACCAAGCATGGCACCAGCCGGCTGTGAGACGGCGAGAGTGGGCTCCCGCGACGCAGTAACAGCAGGAGATGCGCACCACACATGCTGGGAAAACACGACTCCAGACCCAACTGCGAGACAAGCCGCCCCTTTGGTAAGAGGCTGCAAAGGACCCTCGTGCACGCCCAGCAGGACAGCAGAGCCGGAGCCACAGGAGGGTGGAGGAAGGTTACGCAGATGCTCGGGAGGGCAGGAGGCGGCCTGCGAAGTGGCCACCGGGGCGGAGAAGAGAAACACAACACGCAACCGGAGGCCTCGTGCCCTCAATGCGCAAGAGAAGCCCAGGCGATCGATGACGAAAACACAGGCAGAGCAACAGAAAAGTGGGCAAGAGAGCTGACCAAGCCCCCACCACCGACGTGTGATGCCACCGGACCCACCACCTGCTGGCCGGGGAGGTGGGGGACGGCAGCCCAGGGGGCAAAGACAGAGAGGGCCAGGCACCACAGACCCCCGTGTGAGACCCGGAGCCGACCGGGTGCCGTCGCGAACGCTGAGGGTCCGCACAAGTCCACTGGAGCCAGGACGTCCGCGCGGGATGGCAAGCCTGGCTCGGTCCAGGCTACGAGCTAGGTCACAGCACCGACGGCAGCCAGGGGACACCAAAAACATCCCACTGGGTGAGGGCGCGAGACGAAGCTTCTTGGTTCCCCCACGTGATGCTCATGGCGTGACATATCCTCGCACCGCGGGAGCGCACGGCAGGGGTGGGGTGCCGCTACGGGGCTCGGGGCTCGCAGAGGGGCCAGATGTCCCTGACCATGCATGTGCTCTGGGAGCTTTCGTTCACATTTTACATTCTCAGGAAAAGGTTACAAAAGAACAAAAAATGCAAACCACTCAATAGAAAATCGCACAGATTGTGGCAGGAAAAGGGATTGGGGTGGGGGGGACAACAGACCAGGGCTCAAGGGTGTGGGGACACGGCCACGGACTGACATCAATCCAGTGCCACGTCCCTGAGGCTCAGAACAACAGACGAGTATCAAAGTGCGAGCAAACACAATGTCCCCCCCCAACTTCCTGCCACGCAGATGACGACCCTTGACACAGTGCTGTCACCCGCAGCTTCGACGCGCGGCTCGAGTTTACGTGGAGGCCAGCCGTGAGCCAGGCCCTTGCAACATGCTGAGAGAGCAGCACAGAGCAAGGCAGACGTGGCCCTGCCCCCGAATAGTGTGTGTCCTAACAGGGGGGACAAGAGACAGAAGCAGATAATGAATGAGACCGTCACAAGCTGTATTAATGTCACACAAGGTACTGATGAGAGGCAGAGAAGCAGAGCGTCAACGGGGTACCCGGTCTGGACAGGCAGTCAGGGTCCGGGGGCCCTTCTGAAGGAGGCACATGTGAGCTAAGAGCCCGGCAGGGTGCAGGGGAGGGAGCCCCCCGCTCCAGGACGCCCGGGGTGGCTGAGCAGTGAGCTCACTACAGTCCGAGCAGGGGCTGCTGGGCAGCAGCGGAGGGGAGTCTGTGGTCAAGAGGAGGCGCCCTGCTCTCTCCACGGTGCTTGACCCTGAGTGACCAACATCAGGGCATTCGAGTAAAATTACTGGACTTTAGAAATAAAGAAGAAACCCTCTGGATGTCTGAAAACGAAACAAAACAATAAAAAAACCCCACACACGTCACACAAGAGGAAAGAAAATGAGGTTAACGTTGGCCTTGAACAAGAAGTGTTTGCACCAGAATAGACCGTGAGATGAATACGGTGCCCAGGTGAATCTGAATCTCAGATAAACAACAAATCATCTCTTAGTGCAAGACTGTCCCATGTAACATTTGGTGCATCTTGTTTTTATAAGCCTGGCAACTGTACGTCAGAAGAAAACAGAGTAATGACAAGGAGATGTGAACAAAGGATTTTATAATCATCAAAACTAAGTGTCACGTACCAAAAGCACAAATAAGACTTTATCAACACGAGCCTTCCCTGTGGACTCCGCCAGAGAATAGGCCTCGGGCAAGGAGAAGCATCCTCTCTGCAGCTGCCAAGAGGACAATGATAAACAAGGGCCGAGCAGGGGAGAGGACGGCATGGGCTGGCCGCCCGCCGGGACAGCGCAGACGCGGCCGCGGCACAAAGCCGTGGCACGGGGAGGGCGAGGAAAGCACGTGCAAAATACCCGCCATGCGCTCACCCGCATCAGTGGTGACAGCATCGGCCTCTAGGGTTAGTTACGTGTGTAACACGAGGGAAGACGAGGGCGTCTGGGATGTTCTAATTCTGCGCAGCTTGAGAACCAGATTCATGGGAGGAAGGAGATGCAGATGTGAGAGAAAAGAGTAAATGGAAAGACTCGCTCGTCTGGCTGCAGAACCGGAAACATCAGTACGAACTCCGGGCTTTTCTACCTTCTGTCTCTACCGGTCGCGCTATTTGGTCCCATCTCCTGAAAAGGCCTGGGAACGGTGACCACCCAGAAGTATCAAGCACCCGACTACTGTCTTTGAGGACAGTTTCTCACTGAGGACATAGGGCTTTTTGGAGAAATGGCTGATTCCAGGTCTGGGGCAAGAAATATCTAAGATGAGCCTGGAACACCAGCCGCCCAAGACCCTGAGGTCATGCCCAAGGACTCGACTCGGAAGAGGCTGACGTGATCCAAAGGTGACACAATGTGAGCATCACTGGTATGGATCGCACTGAACCGAAACCCATTAAATGTGTTAAAATCCATGAATGTGTAAGATTTTTTTAAAAGGGGCGCCTGGGTGGCTCTGTGGGTTGAGCGTCTGACTTCGGTTCAGGTCATGATCTCCCAGTTCAGGGGTTCAAGCCCCGCCATCAGGTTCGCTGCTCTCGGCACAGAACTGGCTTAGGATTCTCTGTCTCCCTCTCTCTCTGCCTCTACCCTGCACTCTCTCTCTCAAAAATAAATAAACATTTTTCAAAAAGGCTTGAATGGGGGGCTTGTTGTTTAATGGGGACCGTTTCCATTTTGCAGGATGAAGAGAGTTTAGGAGATGAGCTGCCCAGTGGGAACGGGATTAACGCTGCTGAAGTATACACTTGAAGATGGTTGGGGTGGTAAATTTTGGGTGTTTTATAACAATTATAAACAAAATGGCCACAGTCCAAAAAGAGACATAAATGTACATATCAACTTTTTTAATGACTAAACCTCGGGTGTACATGTCAGTGATAGATCATCAAAACTACAAGGAAGTAGTTACTATACAATCAGGAGAACTTACTTATCAGGTGGGTGAAGAGGTTCTTACTGGAACAGGAGGGTGTAGGGAAGGGCTTCCGCAGTGACGAGTTCAGTTCGAGAGCCCTGATTATAAATACAGAAGTGTTTGTATTTTTTTAAAGTTTATCTATTTTGAGAGAGAATGAGTGGGGGAGTGACAGAGAGAGAGAGAGAGGGAGAGTGAGAATCCCAAGCAGGCTCCGCGCCGTCAGCACAGAGCCCGACGTGGGGCTCAAACCCACAAACCGTGAGATCATGAGCTGAGCCTAAATCAGGTGTAGGACACTCAACCAACTGAGCCACCAGGTGCCCCAGAGGTGTTGGGTTAAAACGGGCTAGTGGGGCGCCTGGGTGGCTCAGTCGGTTAAGCGTCCGACTTCAGCCAGGTCACGATCTCGCGGTCTGTGGGTTCGAGCCCCGCGTCGGGCTCTGGGCTGATGGCTCAGAGCCTGGAGCCTGCTTCCGATTCTGTGTCTCCCTCTCTCTCTGCCCCTCCCCCGTTCATGCTCTGTCTCTCTCTGTCTCAAAAATAAATAAAAGTTAAAAAAAAATTAAAAAAAAATTAAAAATTAAAAATTAAAAAAAAATTTAAAAAAAAAAAAAACACCAAAATGAGCCGTTAAGTCATATGTTTATATTCCGTGGTTTCTGCCTGTGATCCATCTTATACCGAAAAGATTTTTTTTAATGGAGACGAGCAGTCTTGAACAGAGTTGAAGGCGGTGCACTCCCAGACCGGAAGACCTTCTACGAAGGCACAACGATTCAGGGCGCGTGCTGTTGGTGTGGGGAGGTCCGTGGGACAGAAGAGTCCCTGGAAGACACCTGCTAACCCGTAATGTCGAGTCCCTACTCTTAGTACCTTGGAACGTGATTTTGCTTGGAATAGGGTCCCTGGAGGTACGATTCGTTAGGTCAGGATGAGGCCACACTGGAGTAGGGTGGGCCTTTGCTCCGGTACCACTGTGCCCTCACGAAAGGGGAATCTGGGACACAGGCACACAGGGAGGTGCCTGCAGGGATGAAGACGCAAACGGAGGTCAGGGCAGCGCCGCCACAAGCGGGGCGATGCCAAGGGCCCCCGGGAGCTCCGGAAGCTGGGCGGGGGCCCGGGACAGGTCCTCCCTCACCCTGCTGGCACTCGGACCTCTGACACCGTGAGACAATACACCGTGGCTCAGGCACCCAAGTGGCGGTACTTCGCTAAGGCAGCCCCAGAAGACCAGTACGTCCAGAAAGCACTAGAATGACGGGGAAAGGAAAGTCTGCACAACAAGCAGTGCTGGGGCCACGGGGTGCCCATGTGAAGATAAGTCTTCGCTCCCTGCAGCTCACACCATCCCCAAAATTAATTAGAAATGAATCAAAGAACCGAATGTGCGAGTTCAAACAATAAAGCTCCTAGAAGAAAAGAGAGAATCTTCACGTCCTCTGGAAGGGCAGAGTCTTCTTAGACACAAAGGTGCCGACCCCAGGAGGAGGCACACCCCATCTACACGGATCTGACAAACGGTTCATAGACATGACCATAAGAAAAAAAAAAAAAACCCAGTTTTAAAATGGGCAGAAGACTTGGACCAAAAAGATATCTGAAGGCCAACAGGCACACGAAAAGATGCTTACCCACTCTACTCTTAGAAAATTCCAGCTCGAGCCGTGGAGAGGCACCGCTATCACACAGACACCAACACGGTTTAAATGAAGACTCCGGGCCACGGCCGGAGCGGGCCGGGAAGCCGGGGTTGCCGCAGCCTGCCCCCGCCCCATGTACTGCGCAGGGCTGAGCGTGACTATCGGGTAAAACCATATGGCCTTTCCGGGAATATTAAACATGCACTTGTCCCATGGCCCCGAAATTCCACACCTGGAGGTATGAGCACACACGCCCACACACTGGTCCGTCCAAGAATGTTCACACCAGCCTTCTTCATAATCTCCCCAAACCGAAAACGATCCACACCCACTAACAAAAAAACATGTTTTACTCACAAGACATGACGGAATATATCTCAAAAATATCATGCTTGGTGAGAGAAGATGGACACAAAGGTCACCTGCTGTAGTGAACTCATTTACATGAAATCCCAGTACAGGCAGAATCAATTTAGGGTAGAGGTGCTGCTGTCTGAAAACAACCACGAGGAGACGCTGGGTTCCGGAAACATTCCACAGTTTGAGTAACGGTCACGTGCTTGAACAACATGTAAAATGTCACCAAGTTGTACACTTGAGATTTGTGCATTAAAAAAAATTTTTTTTTAATGTTTATTTATTTTTGATACAGAGACAGAGCATGAGTGGGGGAGGGTCAGAGAGAGAGGGAGACACAGAATCCCAAGCAGGCTCCAGGCTCCGAGCTGTCAGCACAGAGCCCCACATGGGGCTCGAACTCACAGACCGTGAGATCATGACCTGAGCCGAAGTCAGATGCTCAACCGACTGAGCCACCCAGGCGCCCCGAGATTTGTGCATTTTACTGAATGCAATTTGTTCTCAATATTAGAAAGTGAAGTTCTTTTTTTTTTTTAATCTTTTTTTGAATGTTAGTTACTTTTGAGAGAGAGAGAGAGACAGAGTGCGAGCGGGGGAGGGAAAGAGAGAGGGAGACACAGAATCCGAAGCAGGCTCCAGGCTCTGAGCTATCAGCACAGAGCCCGACACGGGGCTTGAACCCACGAACCACGAGATCATGACTCCAGCCGAAGCTGGGCGCTCAACCAACCGAGCCACCCAGGTGCCCCTAGAAAGTGAAATTCTGAAGAAAAAAACAAAACAGGAACTAGAGGCCAAAATACTTTAAAGCATTTGATGTAAAAAGTACAGAAGGCAGGCAAAGAGAACACAGCACACCCGACAGGGCGCTAAAGAGGAGTCTGGAAACAGCTGAGTATCAAAAGCCTGTTAAAAAAATCCCAAGACAAGATAAGATCGGAAACTACGTACCGAAAGGGCACCTCACAGACGTGGGCAGAATATCGCCCCAGAACAGCCAACACAGTCGATAAAATTTCTGGATTTAGAATAAAAAAATAAAAATCCTTGGACATCCAGGCAAAACAAACCAAATCGCTTGCGAGGAAAATGAGCACCAGATTTCTCAGTGACAGTAACCGAGGCTAAGGGACAATGCAGCAAGGAAAGAAAGCGAGAGGCAGGAACCTCGCGTGCAGCCAGTCCGACGGAACGGCAGAGCCCACCCACGCAGGACACGGCTTCCCAGACCACAGTGCCTGGGAATCCAACTACGGCCCCAACTTTTTAGTCATATTACAGCATTTTGCTTCTTTAATTTTTTAAATGTTTATTTACTTTTGAGAGAGAGAGAGACAGAGAACGAGTGGGGAGGTGCAGAGAGAGGGGGGGACAGAGGAGCCCAATGCAGGCTCAAACTCTTGAACTGTGAGATCATGACCCGAGCCGAAGTCGGACGCTTAACTGACTGAGCCACTCAGGCACCCCTAAACAGAATGGCTTCATCCACTAAGTTGAACATATGCGTACCTTACAACATGAGACTCTACTCCTAGGTGCACACTCAGCTGAATGTGCACAGGACAAACGTCACTGGTAGCATCGTGCATGACAACAGATGCCACGGGACACAGCCCGTCACCTGCCTGCAGTGGGGCGGTGGAGCATAGACTGACCCCCTGGAACACTTCACGGAAAGGGAAGGAGTGGGCTACACCACACGAACACGTCCCACAGAGTGTCGAGGGCCGGAAGCCAGGGACGAAGTAATTCATGTGCTAGGATCCTATCTGCACCACATGTCAGAAGTCGAGCCGGGGCTCCGGGCCTGCGGGGCCGGGCCGGGGCCTCACAGGCTCGTCAAGCTGAACGGCAGAAGCGTGTGCTGTTTGGTACGGGGCTTGCACTTCAAAATACAAGTAATAAAGCACACTGACGCCAGTAACTCTCTAAGGTATGGTACAGAGTGAGAAAGCGTGCTTTTGAACGGTGTCATTTGAGACTTAGAAAGTCTATTTCTTTACACACACACGCACATAAATGCCCAGAGAGGGAACCCACAAATAAAACCCATGAGCGCAAGAGAGTCTGAGAGCACAAAGGCCGCGGAGCCATTGGCAAAGGACGGGCAGCGCCCTCAGTCGCGGGGAAGTCCAAGCATCTGAACGCACAGCAACCGTTGCGCCTGCGCCCAGTCCCGCCGCCAACACGGAGGCCACGGCCCGAGCGGCAGGCAAGTCCCTCCACCTCCCTCACCCTCAGCTTCCTGATCAGTGAAACCAGGCTCGTGTGGGGGCCGCGGGAACCAGGGGAGGGTGCACTCCACCGTCTGTGTGGCCGCCACCGTCCTCCGAGGTCAGGAGCCCTCCCCCACGAGTCGGCGCGCTGCTGGCTTCGCGGCACACTCTGGGCCGCAGCCCCGGCTGCCACCGTCCTCCCGTGTCCCTGCCTCTTCCCAAGGAGCATCGTTCCAAGTTCCATAAGATGTGCCCCGGGTCCACAGGCACTGTGTGTGACCAGCACCGACCCACAGTGAACCTCACGGGACAGGGGTCAGCATACGTGTTCCCTAGAGGGCCAAGCAGAAGCTATTTTAGGCCAGGGCGCCTGGGGGGGGCGCAGTCTGTTGAGTGTCTGACCTCGGCTCAGGTCATGATCTCACGGTTCTTGAGTTCGAGCCCTGCGTCAGGCTCTGTGCCGACGGCTCGGAGTCTGCTTCGGATCCTCTGCCCCTCCCCCACTCACACTCTCCTTCTCTCCCTCCCTCTCTCAAAAATGAGTAAACATTAAAAAAAAAAGAAACAAAACTATCTTAGGCTTCAAGGAACATATGTGACCTCTGTCATATCCTTCTTTGCTCTTACGACCTGTTAACATGAAAAATCCACTCACAGTTTGGGCTGTCTGAATGCAGGCTGCAGGCATACCGTGGCCCATGGCCAGTGTTTACCGACCAAAACTTATGGAAAAACACAAGCTCGGGTGTGAAAAATGTCCAGGCTGTTGCTGGTTAGATTAACCTTAGAAGCAGAAGGCTGAACCCTTCCATGTGACTGTGAGGGAGCCAGACACACACAGATCGCAAGGCACTCTGCAGGACAGCCGGCCCGCACCCTTCACAGAGCCCCGCACCCAGGACACAGATCACCAGTGCGTGTCCCTGACCGGCACCCGCCCCCCAGGGGCAGTCGTGACAGACAACGACATCAGGCCTGGGGGTGAGCGGCCAGCGCCTGGCCCAGCCCCAGCGTCCACAGCCACCTATCAAAGGCCAACGTCCACAGATCGGAGCAAGATCCTTTCACCCAAAAGATGGTCACTATCTGCCTCTTTCAGGCCCTGCCCCACACTGGCCACTCACCAGCTGAGTTGATGACGTGCCTCACGACCTGCAGGGTGCCCACGCGGGTCCTCTCGTTGTTGGCATCGAGCTTGGGCAGCAGGAAGGCCAGCAGGCGGTCAGGCGAACAGCACGCTGCCGGGCAAGCAGAGAGCCAAATAATCATTTGTAATAATCTTTGCTCCCTGCTCACTGTTGGCACCTGCAAGCCCCGGGGTCCTCCCGGGGGCTGCAGCCCACACACCGAAGCCTCCTCACCTCCAACCCATGCCCAAAGCTGCCACCACCCCCTGCACACGAGCGGTCCACCGGCCCCCCACGTGAGCAGACGTTCGTGTCCGCAGATGGCCCCGCGTGGGCTGCCGGCTTACCCAGCACAGTGAAGCAGCGTAACACCTCCTTTCGGTTGCTCACCACCAGAGGGCTGGACGACTCCACGGGCACACAGATCTGCGCCAAGGGACAGACGGCAGCAGTTACAGGGGATGCTGCCGTCTCCCAAGGGCCCAGCTAGCCGGGAGGGAAGGTCCCTCCTACGGTACCCAGGCCTCATGGCCTCTACCTCCCCCACGGCCAGTCGGCTCGCTCCGGCTCTTTCTCATGGGGCTACAGGGATGCACTTGCCCCCGTGGTCAGAGGCCCTTGGGTCTCCGGGGAAGAGAGTCTCGGCCCCTTCAAGCCACCTTTTCCCACCAGCAGCCAGGACACAGCCTCCCACTTCCTTTGGGCACAGGCAGGAAAACATTAATCTCCAGAATACAGAAAGTACTAGAAACCAAAACACCTAGCGTTGGTTCATCCAAAATTATTAAAAAAAAGAAAAAAGAAAAAAAAGACCCACACAAAACAAAAACAAAAACTGAAGAAGCTGTGGGCAGATGTGTCTTTGGGGTCCCCTGCATCCCAGCGGGTGACATGGAAGGTCCCCCCTCCCCCACCCCCAGCATCCCAGTCCCCCTGGTCACAGTCAAGACAGCAGGGCCTCTGCACAAAAGGCTCAATGGCAATTCTTCGGGACAGCCCATCTTACAAAGAGGTGACCAACAGTGCAGAGCATGTCCCCAGAGCCACAGGCCCCACCCCAAGCTGGACCCTGCTAGCTCTCAGAGAACGGCGGGGAAGGTGGGTGCAGGCGCTGGCCCCAGGGCTCGGCCCCAGGCTCCCGGGCACCTCCTCGTTATTCCCGTTGTGGAGACTCAGGGGGTCCCAGAAGGCACGGCAGCAGCCTCCCACCTGCTCCCCGGGAGCTCTCCCTCCGGGGAAAGCCAGCTGCCGAGCGGCCAGAACACTCAAGCGGCCCAGGGAGAGAGCCACCAGCCAGGAAGGAGGCCTCCGGCACACGGCCAGGTGAGGGCACCATCGTGGAAACAGACCCCCGGCCCCGGTCGAGCCTTCAAGCTGTGACCACGGGAGGCCCCAAGCCAGAACCGAGCAGAGGAGCTGGGCCTAGGCCCCTGGCCGGTAGTGACCGTGGATAACAACGGTTGCTGCCTTAAGATGCTAAGTTTTAGAACACTTGGTTACACAACAGAAGAGGTGCAAAGGGTAGTCATCTGGAAAAAAAGATAAAACTGGACTCTCGCTGTTTCCCTAAAATAAATTCCAAATGGATTAAACTATACAGGTACGTTGGAAAATGGGAGAATCTGAAAAATAGTTTGCAGAATTCAAAAGGCTTTTCTAACTGTAAGAAAACCTACGTTAGAACGTAACAGACAGACATGTAATGATGTAAAAATTAAATAATTTCGCACGGCAGAAGATATCATAAATGGAGTCAAATGACGAAGGACAAAGTAGGAACAAGAACTTTACGTGAACGATAAAAGACCGTCAGTAACTGCTACAGGTCGATATGGGAAAACCCAAAACCCAACAGAAAGACAGACACGAAGGGACAGCCCTAAGAAAGGCGAGTATCTCCCTTCTCAGCTGTGGTCTACTTGTGTTTCCCCTTTAACCCCTTCTCCACAGACCATCACTCCTTCTTCCCCACAGGCTCTCTTCTCAGCTAGGCCCACACCCACGACTCAGAGAACACCCTGGCTTCCGCACTACTGGGCTGGACCATCCATCCCGCTCTTGCTGCCTGCAAGCCTCAGCAGACCAGAACCCCCGTCCCTGCCATACCAGCCCCATCCACAGTGCGTCCCCAGGGCCCCTGTCCCCAGCGCCCCTCCCCCCAGCATACCCTCCTGTACCCGCCCCAGGAGCCCCAGCCTGCCCCGTCTCAGGTGCGCCCCCCCCCCGCCCCCCCCCGGCCCCCCCCCCCCCCCGGCCCCTCCACGTCCTGTCCCACGGTGTCCCCTGGTCCTGCCCCCTGCGCATCCTACCTGAGCGTGTAGAGCAGCCAGGAGCGCGTCCAGCTGGGCCTCCAGCGTGCGGCTGCCCACGCTCACCGCAGCCTCAAGGATCTGGCCCAGGCTCTGCCCAAGACGGGGAGGAGAGAGGCCATCGGGCCTATGTCAAACCCCCCAGCCCCACCTCCTGGCCACAAAAACCCCACCTCAGGGCTCAAATAAGGAATCCCTACCTCTACGTCAAGAACAAAGACAGGAGGAGAAGGCTCAGAACGGCGGCATGGACTTAGGGTAAGGCCAAGGTGAAGGTGCCCTGGGCAGGGCAGGGCAGTGAGGAGAAACGTGCCTGGGCCCCACCCACCACTGAGTCCAACAGCGCTCTCTGTGCTTCCCCTCCCGGGTGTCCACACCCTCCCACCTGAGCCAGGTGGGCACCGGTCGGTGGACAGAGCTCTGCACAGGCCGCGGCGTGCAGGCGCGCACCTTGGACACGTGGAAGGTCTCGGCGTGCTTCCTATAGAGGGCCAGGACCCCCGGCAGCAGCTTGGGGAGCTGCTCCTCCAGCTTCTCACTGGGCAGCAGGTGGCTCATGGGCCCCAGAGCCTCCACCACGGCGAGCCGGAGCTGCGAGGAAACGGCAAATGATGCTCACGTCCAAACCAGCACGGCAATGCTGGGAGGTGCCCCGAGCGGAAAGGCAAGAGGCCTTCACCAAGAACCCAGGGTCGGAACGAGGAAACCCCGGGTACCCTGTGACCAGGGGGTCTGAAAGGGGTCCGAAGGCAGAGAGGTCAGAGTGACCACGGCCAGGGTCTGGACGGTGGCCAGGCCGGGGAGGCCGTGAAGGCAACACCCACAGGGGACTCGTCACGCCTCAGCTCAGCCCGCTACCCGGACGGTCCGGGAGCCTCCGGGCAGAGTGGGGTCGGAGGGCAGGAAACAAGCCATATTCTGGGAAGACCTCACACAGGACACCTCCACTCCCTGAAGAGGCTCCCACCTCCCGAGCCGGGGTGGGGGGTGGGGGAGGGGACACGGACCGGGCACCGGGAAGCATGTGTCCATAGCTGTCTCCACCCCGCTCCCCGCAGTCCCCTCCCCCAAAGCCTGCAAAACGGCACACGAGGCTCAGGCCTCGTGGAGGTGGGCCGAGCTCAGGGGTGGGAGACGGCAGCCGGCAGGGTGAGGCCACGGGTTCCGACAGACTGCAGAGGTTGTACCTTGGCCTCACGGCTCTGTAGCCAGTGGTTAAAGAGGATGTCGTAGGCACTGAAGATGTCAGTGGCAAAGGTGTCCTTCCTGACCGTGGGGTCTGGGGCTTGGTCCAGGTTGGCCAGGTACTCCAGGGTGCTCTCGCTGAAGTGCTGCAGAGCTACCACAGGCCGGGTGGCTGTAATACGCCTGCACCGCCGCCCCTTCTAACGGCCGGCCCCCCCCCCCCCCCCCCGCAGGACACCTTCCCGAGACCGGGGCTAAGTGCGGGGCTCCGGGACTATGCCGGCATGAGGGTCCCTCCACATCCACGTCCGTCCCAGAATCTCAGGAAGGGACCTTTTCTGGGAACGAGGATCTCTGCAGGGATAACTACATAAGATGTGACCGTGTCGGGTAGGGTGGGCCGTAAATCCAACACAACCGTGTCTCGGGAAGAGAGCACACAGACCACAAAGAAGACGGCAGAGTGACAGCAGGGCACAGTCTGGGGCCCACCTCTAGATGCTGGGGGAGGGACAAGTCTCCCTCTGAGCCCCCAGGAAGGGCTCCGAGTAACACTTTGATCTCAGGCTTCTGGCCTCCAGAACCGTAAGAATACGTTTCTCTTTTTCTTTTTTTTTCAAAGATTTTATTTTTAAGTAATCTCTACGTCCAACGTGGGGCTCGAACTTACAACCCTGAGATCGAGAGTCACTCGCTCCACCGACCAAGCTGGCCAGGCGCCCTGCATTTCTAAGTGGCACTGTGTGACAGCAGCCATACAGAACTGGCACAGACACCGACGTCCCCAAACGGCCTCGGTTCACAGCGCCCACCGCGAGGCAAAAAGAGGAGGTGCTGTGCCCACCTCACCCCTCACAGACAGACACAAATAACGCACAGTTTGCAAGGGTCGCTGTGCCCAGAAGTCCCGGGTGCAGGGGGCGTGGGAGGGCACTGAAGGTGCAGAGTGTCGGGCTGAGGCAGGGCGGGCCGAGACAGTGGTGTCTACGAAAGTGGCTGTGCTTGGGGACATCCAGGTGGGCAAGTCTGCGCACAGATGAAGACCTACGAGTGGTCAGCAAGGGCTGAACCCGGGGCCAAAGGAAAGGACAGGGATAAGAGGAGAGAGGCGAGGCCAGGCCCCTGTCACGCAGCCCTGAGAAGGGCAGGGTAGCGGAGGAGCTGGGGGGGTGGGCGGGGCACTGCACCAGCCCCTGCCCAGCACGGCTCTCACGGCTCTCACCCGGGCCACTTACACAGCTAACTTCTCAGCCGGGGCTCCCCAGTCCGACAGAGAGAACAAGCCTGATCCCTGTGTGTATGTGACAGCAATCACAGCCACAAGTTCCCAAGACACAGAAGCTAAAGAAAAAATTTTCTGAGGAAGAGAGAGTTCACATGTGTACAAGTGCTCGTGCGAGCAGGGGAGGGGCAGAGAGAGACCGGGAGAGAGAATCCCAGGCAGGCCCCACACTCGCTGCGGAGTCAGATGTGGGGCTCGATCCCATGACCCGGGGATCGGCACCTGAGCCAAAATCACAGTCGGACACTCAGCCGACTGAGCCACCCAGGCGCCCCAACAACTTTTAGAAGAAAATTGCCTCCCGGAGGGAGCACTCCTGTGCCACCGGCCGCCCTTCTGCTTAGGAGGGGCTCTTGGAGGCTCCAGCCCAGGCAGACTCCGGCCCCACCAGAGCACGAGGAGGCCTCGCGTCCCCACCTGCCGCACGGCCCCTGTTGCTTGGAGGAGGGACGCAGCCCCGGCCCTCTTCCTCCCTGTCCGCCCGACGCTCTGGCCTCCTTGAGCTCTGTAGTCAGGAGGCCGCTCACGGACCTGCGTCTCTCAGCACCTCGTAGCGAGGCGTTTCAGGAAAACAGGCCACTCTGTTGCCGGAGTGGCCGGAAGCAGGAAGCGAGCCCCCCAGGTTGTTGCCAGGTTTTACTTTTTAATCCGTTATGCACACACACGTGGGGTAGAAGGGCAGTTCTCGCATACTGGCCCCTCTCCTCCAGAAGCGCGCACGGCTGGTCTTCCCCCTGCTAACAACGCCGGGGCGGCCGGCTCACCTCATACCAGCTTCGTTTCCCTCGGGGCCTTCGGCTTCTCCGGGCAGGGGTCACCGGCCAACCTCTACCTCCTGCCGGCACCCCGGGTCTCCCCCGGCCACGCCCGACAGGGCCGCGCCACTCAGACAGCCGTGGGCAAGGTGCCGGCGGGGGAGAAGGCCGTCCCATTCCTCTGTGTCCTCTCGGACCACTTTCCCCACCAAAGTGTCTTGGTGTGGACGCCGGGAGGTCCCTTCCTTCTGGAAGCCGCAGCTCCGGGGCATCTGTTACTTGAACGAGGCCTCATGGCCTGGCCTGCCACCCCTTCCCCCTCTGTCTCCCGTTTTCCAGGTTCGCATTTTTGCTCTATTTTCTGGGACATTCCTCGACCTTCTCTTCCATTCTCGCTGCCATCTGTCGTCGCTTCTCTGACCCCGAGAAGCTCAGCTGTACTCCCTGAATGAGGCTACTTCCCGGCAACACGCCCTGCTCTCACCTCACCCCCCGAGGGAGTCGTCATCATGCCTGGTCTTTTGTGCCCGTTCTCTTCTCCCTGGACTGTCTGCTCGCCCAGGTCTTGGAGCTCTGTTTATGCTGCTGCCGCCGTCGCTCTGGGAGACGCCGGTCGCGGGCAGCAATCCGGGGCCGCCGTCAGCGCCACACGGTGTGGGCAGGCTGCCCGCGCACCGGCTGTCCGGGGGACGCCGTCTCCACCTCCGGGCGTTCTGGCTCTTCTCCCTCCAGCCACAGCATCAGCAGACGCGACCGGGAAGGACCCTGGGGCACCAACTTCTGTTCGTGGCCCCGGGCCAGCAGACACGGGAGGCCTCGGCCCACTCACGGCCCACCATGCCAGCGGGAAGGGCCGCTCTCTCCTCCAACGGCAGGCGGGGGAGCGTCGGTCAGCGGAGAGCGCCGCGTGCCCTGCAGACAGCACGTCCGCCGCAGAGCGAATGCTGCTCACACGCGATGGACGCGGACGCGGTAAAAACCGTCAGTGGCGTTAGAAGGGTCGGTTCTTCGGCACCTCGGGCCGGCCCCCCCGCTCGCGGCCTCGGCAGCTGCAGGGAGGAGCTGCGTCCTTCCCGAGGAGTCCTCGGCTGCGACGCGGGGTCTCCTTACTCCCCCTCCAGCCTGGATGCGCCGTCCTAGGTGACCTCCCAGCTCCCCCCACCCCTTGCTTCCAGCACCTGCAAACACATCCCCACGCCCCACCTTCTGGGTCCTGCTCTGCCATCCAGCCCGGTGGGAATCCCCGGCTCAGCCGTCCCAGGACCCTGACGAAAATTCTTGTTACCCGAAACCAGGTCAAGGAGGGTTCCTACAGTTTAACCCGGGGAGTCTGCCATCACCCGCGGTGGGAGGAGCGCGTGAGAAGAAGACAGGAAGGAGGCCGTGGCAGGGACAAGGGACATGGGAGCGAGGGGCCGTAAGGACGGCCGGCAGGAGCTGGAGCCCCTCCCCGGGGCCCCAGGATCCGAAGCCCCCGCGAGCGGGGCGGACGAGGGCCCCGGGCTCCAGTATGCTGCTGTGAAAGGCCCCAGGCGCCCCCAAGTACATGGCAGGGAGTGGGGCCAGCAGGCCGGCCGGCAAATACCCGACAAGCCCTCAGCTGAGCTCCAGGTGCCCTGACCCTGTCCAGTCACCACACCCTTCCCTTACCGAGGACCCTCCTAACCGGAGCCCTGCTCCCCACTCAGTGCCAGGGCTGCGGGCGTTCCAGAGGAAGCCACGCAATGTGGGCGCAGCCGCCCACGGCACCTTCCACGCTTCAGGACCCTCTGCCCTCCTCCCAACAGGAACGCCTCCCTTGCCTCGAAGGGCCCGCCGTGAGGAGCCATCCCCCCCACACCCCCTCCACACCGTGCACGGACCCCGCCCTGAGAAGCCGTCCCTGCTGAGTGCACAGAGGGCAGCAGACCCGGGAGGGAGGGGAGTAAGGACCCCTTTCGGAGATGCCCAGTACTGAGCAGGGAGAGATGTGGGAAGTCTCTGCGGCTCTGGGGAGGTTTCTTCCCGCACCCCCGCAAGTGTCCCGGCCTCGGGGAACCGCACTGTGAGGTACAGGGGCCCCTGCCAGCGGACAGAAGCAGCCGGACGCCCGGGCCGAGTCCCCGCCTGCAGCAGTGCCCACCCGCCCACACGTCCGCAGTCACCCAGGGCCGCTCAGCCCTCCTCCGCCGCCCAGAGGACTCATGACCCTCCCCAGACCCAAGGGGTGGGCAGGCGGCTCCCAGCCCCCGCCCCGGAGACCCCATCTTACCACAGCAAAACGCCACCCTCATCGTATCGTGCTTGGCCATGCCCAGCATGGGGAGCATGGTGCTCAGGATGGACGTCAGGAAGGGCACCATGCCGAACACTGCAAGATGGGGGGGGGGGGGGAGGGGCGTCAGGGAACCCCCGCCTCACCTGGCCTGGCCGCAGTGTGCCCGCCCCGCGCCCCCAGGCCACACGGCCTGGGGCGGGTGGTGGAGAGGTTCCCCCCCCCCCACTCGCTCCGAATGCCGGTGGAGGCAGGCCAGGCGGAACCTACCGTTGGAAGCCGCCAGGTTGGCGAGGGTCTGCACGACGAAGTAGTGCGGCAGGGCCCCAGGCTGGAACTTGCTCAGCACCTCCTCCATCACCAGGCCGATGAACTGCTTCCCAACAGCCACCAGGACGTTGCTGGCAGCCTGCTGCCAGTCACACACCAAGTCCTGTACCCCCCGCCCCGAAAACGTGCACTGATGCCCCAATCAAGCAAGGGACACAGGACCTCACCCTGAAATTGCCCAAGAAGCAACAATGGGACGTCGTGCCCTGTTCTCAGGCTCCCCGTGAGCACCTGCTAGAGAACTCTCCCAAGCCCCCCCCCCCCGGAATCCCCTGCTCCCCCCTCCCCCCAGGAGCCGAGCACCTGCCCCCTCCACCTGCAGGGAGAGGAAAGTGCTGCCACCGGGAGCCGGCCCCACGCAGAGCCTGGCAATGTCCTCCTCACGCTGGGGGGCCGGCACCGGTGCCCTCGCATCTGCCCTGAGACTTCCAGAAGTTTGTCTCTGCTCCAGCTCCACCTCTACACTTATGGGCGGGCCTCCCCATCCCAGCAGGGCACTCAGTGTGCAGGAAGGGGTGGTCGGCCCAAGGCAGCCAGATGCGAGCCCACGTTCCCAATGCGCTCGGGTCAAAGTCCTAGGAAAGAAGCTCCCCTCCCCGAGCAGGCAGGTGCCCCCCATACCTTCACCCTGGTCATCTCGCTGGAGACCAGGAAGATGACAGCCCTGGCCATGTCCTTGTCCAGGTCACTGATGTGACTGCTCACGACCGTCTCCATGGCCCTCAGGATCATCGTCCGGTAAGGATGTGCCAACTGACCAGAGAAACCATCGAGGAAGGTCCTGGAAGGGGAGCTCGCACCCAGGCAGCCTGCTGACACCTGCTTTCTCTATAGGGGTGACTCAACTCACAGTCACCCCTGGCTGCCCCAACGCGGGAGGTCAGGGCACGCCTGGCCACTCCTCATGCCCCCAGACTCTCGGGGCCTCGCACAGGAAAGGACCGTGAGAAGCGGGTGAGGGCACGAGGTCGTCAGCAGGTGCCAGGAGTGTTCTGTGCAACACCCGCAGTGAACAGATGGTGGCCCTCGTGCTGTGGCCGGGGTCTCCGGGCCAGAAGCTCTCCTGCCCTGAGAGGTCCTATCACAACAGAGTTTGCTGCCACCAGGAAGTTTTGGGGCTCCCCAGGGAGACCGGTCAGAGGAGACTGCTTGACAGGCCCTCTCCTTACTCAGGCGCGCCCCGCCCCGAGGGGGCCTTGTCTGTCACACCCCTCCCCACGCTTCTTCCGACCTGACCTCGCCCCAAGGGCTGAGGCTGGACGGTAAAATGACGGTAAAATGACGGCACTGCCGGCCCTGTCCTAGGGTTCCTCCCCTGCTCCGGGTGGGCCCTCCACCCGCCCAGACACAGTCCTCGTCGGCACCTGGCAGCCGTGGCCCCACCTGGCACTCATCCTCGCCTCAACTGAGGACGTGTGGTGACGGCTGGGAGCGGGGTCCGGGGCCAGGAAGCCAAGGTGCCTCGCTGCAAGGACGGACTGCAGCAGAGGTGAGGTGAACAGAGCAGGGCGCAGCCAAGGGAGAGGCTCCATCGGGTCAGGAGCCCCGGGGCGCTCACAGAGACCGGAGGGGAGGGCAAGAAACAGGCAGGGGGCAGGGAAAGACCAAGACCGGCCTTCCCGTGAGGACCTCCCGCCCCCAGGAGCGGGGCATCCAGGTGGAGGGGGGGCCGGCACACACGGCAGCACGTGGTGCCCTGGTCTGTGCCGGGACAGGACTGAGCCTGGGCGACCAGAGGAAAAGGGGCCAGAAAGACAGGCGACTTGGGCTGGTGGAGGGAGCTCTGTAAAAGCAGGGATTCCCTCCCACGGAGGCCACCAGCAGCCTCCTGCACTGTGGGGCCCACCCATGGGCACGATCTTTGTTCCTGAAAAGAGCCAACGCAGATGGTAAACACCTCTAGATCGACGAACAGATCCCACGAAACCTGCCTCAGATTCCCGGGGGAAAGCTCCAGTGTTAGCTTTTGTTCTCTGGGTGACAAACTGCGTCAAAATTCATTTGACTGCATACACAAAGGTTTTTCCCAGGCTCTCGACTCTATTGCATTCGTCTCTACGCCCGTCTCTCTGCCCCGTCTCTCTGCCCCGTCTCTCTGCCCCGTCTCTCTGCCCGTCTCTCTGCCCGTCTCTCTGCCCCGTCTCTCTGCCCCGTCTCTACACCCGTCTCTCGGCCCCATCTCTACGCCCGTCTCTCTGCCCCGTCTCTCTGCCCCGTCTCTCTGCCCCGTCTCTCGGCCGGTCTCCACCGTGGTGTTCGGCTCCAGCGGCCCTGTAGTAAGCCTTGAAGTCAACGAGTGTGAGTCCCCAGCTTTGTTCTTTTTCAAGACTGTTTTGGCTGTTCAGGATCCCTTGAGGTTTCGTCTGACTTTTAGGATGGCTTTTTCTATTTCTGCAAAAACCATCCCTGGGATTTTGATAGGGATCGCAACAGTCGCCTATTTTTAAAGAAAAAGGTTTTCTGTTTCCATTTTACATTGCTCTTAAAGTTCAATGGGCAGAACACTAGCCCCATCAGAACAAGATGTAGTGCTCCGCGGCACGCGGTGATAAAGCCACGGGCCTGTCACCCGAGCAGGGCGGGAACCGCGCTGGGGTGGCGCAGGGACCGGCCGGCCCAGAGCGGGCGTGGGAGATTTCCGGCTCCACACTCTCACGTGCTGCCAGCGAGCCCGTCGTCCCGCCTTCCCCCCAGCGCTGACCGGTTCTGCTCAAGAAGAGCTGCTCGAGAACCTGCGCCGGGTCATCTGCAGGAAGGACCTTCGCCACGGGACGCAAAGGTCGGACAGTCACCACATGGTCCCGATGCATGAAGTGACTACCAGCACCTGTCTAAGGTCCTGACCTGGGTCAGTGGAGGAGTCAACTCGCTGCCGAGCACGCTGGGATTTTAACCCCTAGCAGAATAACTCAGCGCCAAGTAAACTCTCACACAAGTCTCTCTCTCGGAATAAATACACAAACATGTAAAAAACAAACGAAAGACCTCCCTTGTCTAGAATCTCTAGATGAGGTTCTAGAGAAAACCAGACATGAATGCATGAAGTTGAAACCAGCCAAAAAAAAAAGAGAACAAACAGAAGAAAACCTTTAGTTACCAGTTCAAAGTTTGATTTTACTATTGCTACAAACGGTCTCCCAAAATGCCTGTGCTGAAACCTAACCCCAAGGTGACAGTATTGGGAGGTGGGTCTTCAGGAAGCGAGCAGGTCAGGAGGGTGCAGCCTCAGGGGTGCAGCCTTCTAAAGAGGCTCCAGAGAGCTCCCTCCTCCCTTCTGCCGTGTGAGGACAGGGTGAGGAGAAAGCCGCCTATAAAGTAAGAAGCGGGTGTCCACCGCACACAGAACCTGCCGGCACCGTGATCTCGGACTCCTGGCCTCCAGAACTGTGAGAGACCCAAGCCTGCTCGTGCTGGAGTGACCCTGACCGACCCAGACGACTACTTCTGCCTCTGTTCCGCCAGCCACTTCCCGCCCATGGGCCTGAGAGCCACCGTGCAGGGACGGTCTGTCCCCGTGTGCGCCCCGCCCACCCGTCCAGGGAGAGTCAGTGGGAGGTGAAACCCCATAACGCACGGTGTGAGGATGCCAGGCAGGTGGCAAGACCTGGGGGCAGGGGGGGGTGGCGTAGGGGCAGAGAGAGGTGCCTGGCGAGGAGCTCAGTCGAGAGGACAGAACTTCCCACTTCATATACTTTTACTGCAAACACGCAAACATGAAAGGGAGAGCTTTCTTCTTAAAGTGATGAAAGAAACCAAAAAGGCTGGAAGAAGTGCAAAATCCTAGATGAGCTAGAAAACGGCCAGAAGGAAGCCCACGACGTCTTGCTGCGTACGGGTCGCTAACAATCACAAAGGCTCTCAGCCACACACGGAAGGGCCAGCGCCCGGCACGTGAGCAGCGCGAAGCTCCACGAAGCCACGGAAGAGCCGCGGTGGACACGCACAGCGCCCGAGCACGAGCGTGCACTCTCCCCACTCGCTCTACGCACAGTCCCCACGGGCGGCCCTAGTGTGCCTACGTGCACATAAAAGGCCAGAAAGGCTAAGAGAGCCAAAGCTGGGATGGGGGGGGGGGTGGCCCTAAGCTGCCGTATGATCAGCTCAGTGGCCACCCGGTGGGACTGACCTACTGCCTAGGAGATGGCGGTCCCACATGAGAGAGAAGTAGCTCCCGCCGTACAGGGATCCCCTTTTCCACCTCAAAGTATTAGATCAAACACAAGGAAAACTGGTCTTTTAAGGCTGTGAAAGTGCCTCTCCCTCCGAGGAAGGGCCCAAAGCACACCGAAAACAACTAGAGCTGGCACACAACCACTTCAGACCCGGGGCCGGCGGCGACTCCGGAACAGAGAGCTGGCTCCCAGCCTCCTCTGCGGCACCGACGGGCACGCCCGCGTCCCTGCAGGGCTGCCCTGGGCATGGCCAGCACGGGGGGCCCGCGGTCCGAAGGAGGGCGGCGAGGGAGATGGCCCGGGCTCCGCGGGCGGCCCCGCTTCGAACGCCTTCCGCCCTCCCTCGCGCGCTCGTCCACCCGTTCCTCTGGCGGTCCCTGACGGCGAGTGGCCTGCTCTCTCTCCCTCGGGGGACAGCACACACCCCGGCGAGGAGAGCTGTCCGTCCTCGAGCCAGCGAGTGAGCAGGGACGCCAACACAGCCTGGGCCTGTGAGCAGCTGGATGCCGTGCCGCTGACCGCCTGACGTGCCCACCCCGTGCCCCCGCGACGGGACGGACCCACAGGCCACAAGTTGAGGCGGCTCACGTGTCCCAGAAATGCCCCGTGCGGGGGGAACTTGGACCGGAAGGGGCGGCTTTCTACTCACAGCAACCGGGACCCCGGCTTTGCAGCCACCCCTCCCCTACAGACCCCGCCCCAAGGACCCCGGAGCACCTAGAGGAGCGGCTCACCCCCCGACACCCGCCAGCCACGGGCAGGGAATACCTTCTCGTGCTGCCACAGGTACTCCTCACAGGCTCGGAGCACCTCCGCTGGCTGCGCCTCTCCGAGGGCGCACAGGGCGCCACAGACCTGCTCCTGCACCAGAGGGTCCTTGTCCGTAATGGCCTCCAGCAGGACGGTGGACAGCTCTACAGAGACAAAGCCCGGCGTGCGTGCTCAGGCCCGGCCGACCCCGCCAGCCACCGCCTGGGCCTGTGAGTTGGAGGACGCCTACCCTTCCCCGACCCCTGTACTTTCCCGTTGCCCCAGCAACCTCCCCCAGGCCCCACCGCCTGGCCACCTTGCACACGTCGGCTGCACACACCCGAGGCACTCTTGCACACACACTGCCTCCCTCCGGCCCGCTCGCCAGGGTCTCTGTCTGGGACCCACCGGCCGGCTGCTCCGAGGCCACCCTGGCTAACTCCTGACCTCCCGTCCCAGGCCGTGTTTGCTTCGTGCCCCCCGCCCCCCCGACCGTGGCTGCTGTAAAAGGCAGGTGTTATAGACTCAGGGCTAGGTGGCCATCTACCCCACACCGGGCAGCACCCGAGGTCTGCCACCTGCCCCCAGAGACAACTCTCCACCGTCCCATCCCTGCTGGTCAATGCTCCACACTCAGAGCCAGACCTCTCCGGCTCGGTGCCCCCGGACAGGACCCTGCCATCCTCAGTGTCCCCAGAGCCAGGGCCCGGGGCCTGCGAACGGCGCTTATGGATCCTCACTCCTGGGGGAGGCGCTCTGTGGGGCGAGGACGTCTCTCCCCTCGCCTCAGCAAACCGCTGGCCCTGGGGGCAGGGACAGGGTGGACAGCCAGGGTGGCTGCTGGACCCGGGTCTTGTGTAGAAAGGGGCAGGGGCACAGGGCCCCCCTACTCAGAGCACAAAGCCCCCTTCGCCCGGCAAACATCACTCCCCACACCACACGGAGCCTGCAGCCCAATCGGCCCCCTCTGATTCAGCAGCTACGCAGACAACGATCTCGTTTTCTTTTCCTCACCGAGAGCTCGGAGAGAGCCTGTTCACGCCATGCGACAGTGCCTCCCTCAAAGCCCGTTCACTCAACGCCACGCTCGGCCGGGTCCCAGACTCCAAGCTGGCAGGCGCTCCACTGCCCCATGTCCCTGCCCAGCCCACTCACTCACTCTTCACGTAGGGCTCTGCCATCTCGGCCGCCTCACCGGCGTCAGCTCGGGCGGCTTCTTCTCAAACCTGGGGTAACCGAAAACACATTTAAACCGTTAAGAGTCCTCGGTTTACAGGCCGTCACCGTGTCTGTATAAACCATGATTTCAGGGGCGCCTGGGGGCTCGGGTAAGCGGCCGACTCTTGATGTCAGCTCAGGTTATGATCTCACGATTTATGGGATTGAGCCCCACGTCAGGCTCTGTGCTGACAGCGCAGAGCCTGCTTGGGATTCCCTCTCTCTCTGACCCTCCCCTGCTCACACACTCTCTCCCTCTCTGTCTCAAAAATAAACAAATAAGTAAGCTTAAAAACACAGGCGTGAAACAGGACATCAGTGCCTTCTCGCGAGGGAGCCATCTGGCACACGGCGGATGGCGGTCACGGAGGGCGGAAGGCGCCCTCCCCCACGGTTCCCAGCTCCCCTCTGCCGCACCCGGCAGCCCGGCCAGGGTGATGTGAGCCCGCACGGTGAGAGGGGCAGATGTGCCCCCCGACTCCACCTACAGCAGCTTCCGTCACTCTGTAAACGAGAGAGGGCGCGCACGAGGCTGACGTCACCCGTCACCCGCAGTCTGTGCACAGCAGGGAAACCTGTCCCCGAGAGCCAAGGACAAGGCGGATCACCACAGGCTTGACACCCCGTGCCTGAGAATTCTAGCACAACGAGAGACGCTGGAAGGGCAGTATGGGGTCTGGCGGGTTCACTGGCAGAGGAAACCAACCATCCAAACCGCCCCTGGCATTTGAGAGATGTGGCTTTCAGGCACTACACGCCTCGAGGCAGCCCTTGCAGCAGATGGGCCCCAAGAGTAAAACCCACCAGTAGGCAAATGCCCCTGCCTCTTCAGCGCAGGGCCACGCTCGGACCTATGTGACACTCTCCAAGGTCCTATAAGGTCAGAGGGACCTCAGGCCCTCGGCGCTGTAGCTGATGGCTTTCTAACACTGATGTCTTCCGTGAGCTGGCAATCCCACCGCCCCTCGATGGGTCGCCTCCATCTTGGACCCCCCCCGATCACCTCTCATCCATAAAAGGACAGAGACGAGAGAGGAGGTGTCATGACCTGGCCCTAACCAAGCAAGAGGACACTCATCTGGCTACGAACACAGGAAGGAAGGAAGTGAGAAATCCCGGGGCGAGTGGTGGCAGAATTATAAGTGAGTGACAACACCACACATGCCCAGGAAGACAGACCGGCCCAAGCACACACACGTGCCCCACCAAAACCTCAATGAGATGACCAGAGAAGATGCAAGTACTTTTTTTCAATTTTTAAAAAGATTTTACTTTTAAGTCATCTCTACATCCAACATGGGGCTCAAGCTCACAGCCCCGAGATCAAGAGTCCCGTGCTCCACGACTGAGCCAGCCAGGTACCCCGAAGATGCAAGTTTTAAAAGAATAAACCCACAAGAACACTAGAAAACAAGATAAAATTAGCAAACCAGAAATCTCCAGGAATCCCAGGCAGAGAGAAAGCAGAAGGAGAAGACACTGGTTCAAAGACGCTGGCATCAGCAAGGTGTTTCCCCTTTCTTCCTGGAAAGCATCTAAAAGTAACAACGAAAACAAGAAATAGAAACACACATTTCACTTGTGGCAGAGCAAGAAGGTGGCCAAAAAACCCAAACCCACAAAGGATGAAGGGCTGAAAGGTCGCAGCCATCAGGCAGGGTATGAAGTATGCTGGCAGCAGGTTCCAGAAAGAATCCGAAGATCTTCTCAAAGGCAGTGGCGACACATGCTCAGACAGAACCCAAATCCCGATGCCTAGACCTGGTCTGCATCTACGAGACAAGCGGCTGCCCCCAGAGGGGACACGGCTGCCTGTCTCCACTACCCAGGAAGAAACAGGGTTAAACCAACTCAAATTCCAAGTTCGAAACGCTCTTCCTACAAGCGCAAAAGGCCACATGCACCCACCTCAAACAGGAGCAAAGAGTAAGTAATAAGTGTAAGAGGCTTCAGCTCCCAGCCCAGACGGGAGTAACGGACCAACTGCCCTCCTGACCCAAACCACTAGAAAGCTTGACGAAACACATGGACCTGCAGTTCTCAGGGCGACAGACGTCAGGAAATGAAGGACGGGAGCCCTGTAGCCACTCCAGCTCACGGCCCGGAGGGTGCATCCAGGCTGAGGAGGAATCACCGGGACCCGGCAATACCCCCGGCTTGAGACAACTGGGAGCATCTTGGGAGACCTAGGTCCTGCCAGTCTATAGACGCTAGCACCACAGAGAACTCCAGAGATCTGCAGAGGGTCCTGGCGGACTTACTGGTCAGTGCTGGGCAGCAGAGTAATGTCCCCAAAGATGCCTATGTCCTCACCCCCAGAACCTGTGAATATGTTACATGTCAAAAGGGACTCAGCAGATGGGATTAAGGGTACAGACCCTGAGGTGGGGGGACTCCCCTGGCTTATGCGGGTGAGACTAGCGAAAGGGTGTATGTAAATCCTTAAACTGCAGAGAACCCCTCCCAGCGGGGCAAAGAGAGGAGATGGAAGGAGGAGGAGGAGAAATTTGAAGCGTTGAGAAGGATTCAACCCCCCCTGGCTGGCTTTAAAGACAGAGGAAGGAGGCTCTGGACCACATAATTTGGGTGGCCTCTAAAAGCCGGACGTGTCCCTTAGTTTACAGCCAGCAAGGAAACGGGGACTTCGGTCCTACAGCCACAACGAACCAAATTGTGCCAACAACGTGAAAGAGCAGGAGAGATTCTCCCCAGAGACCCCAGCAAGGAGCACGGCCCTACTGCCTCCAGCCTAAAGTTCTCAGGGACTCTAGGATAATACATATACATCATTTAAGGCACTAAGTCCGTGGTAACTTATCATAGCAGCAACAGAAAACTGATTCAAGCACCATATCTGAGAAAAAACTACCAAAGCCAGGGAAAGAACTACCCAAAAAACCCAGCAGAAACATCACCAGAACTCACAACAGACCAGGAACAGGGCTGTTCCCAGCAGCCCAAGGGGAAAACGTCAAAAGTCAGAGTATTGGGAAGAGCACTCAAAAGGGTTTTGCCTTGGTAAAAAAATAAAATTAGCCATAGGCTAGACGCTGTCTGCTCTCACCTAACAAAGCTAAAAGTAAGACCTGAAGGGGCGCCTGGGTGGCTCAGTCAGTTAAGGGTTTGACTTCAGCTCAGGTCGGGATCTCATGGTTTGCGAGTTCAAGCCCCACATTGGGTTCTCTGCTGTCAGCTCGCAGCCCACTTCAGATCCTCTGTCTCCCTCTCTCTGCGCTCCCCCCCCCCCGACTCACACTTTCTCTTTTCTCTCTATATCTCTCTCAAAAATAAATAAACATTTAAAAACAAATAAAGTGGGGCACCTGGATGGCTCAGTCGGTTTAGCGGCCGACTTTGGCTCAAGTCATGATCTCATGGTTCGTGGGTTCGAGCCCCGTGTTGGGCCCTGTGCGGACAGCTCAGAGCCTGGAGCCTGCTTCGGATTCTGGGTCTCCCTCTCTGCTCCTCCCCCCTCACACTCTGTCCATCTCTCTCTCAAAAATAAATAAAGCTTAAAACAAATTTTTTTAAATAAATAAAAACAAAAAAAGACCTGAAAAGATCAAATTGTTCCCAAGTAACTTAGCTACATCCCAGCAAAGTTCAAGAATGATAGCAACACAAAAATACCCGGCACCAGCAAGGTAAAATAACATGTCTGACATCCAGCAAAAAATTACTCGGCATGCAAAGAAGCAAAAAAAACAAAAACAAAAACAAAAAACAAAAAAACCAAAAAACCAAAAAACATAAAACAAAAACAACCCACAATGAGAATGAATCAGTCAATATAACTGATCCAGAAACGATGCAGAAGAATTCATAGACAAAGACAGCTAGACAGTTATAACTGTATTTCACAAGAAACCACAGGAAAGACCACACGTTAGCATAAAGAGGTTAAAAGGGTGGGTAAAGAAAACGAGGCCGACACCAGTCGCAAGAAAGCTGGAGTAACTATATGAATAGACAGAGTAGGTTTCAGAGGCATAACAACCCTAAACGTTTATGTGCCTAATAGCAGAACTTCAAAAATCACAAAGCCAAAACGAATAGAAATGCAAAATGAAATAGAAAAATAGAAATTATAGTAGAGATTTCTCTATAACTGACAAAACAATTGTACAGATAATCAGTAAGGGTACAGAAGACCTGAACAATACTGTCAACCGACTTGACCTAAGTAGTATTTATAGAACCATCCATTCATCACAAGTAGTATATTCCTTCCAAAAGCACATGGAATGCTAACCAAGACTGACTACATTCTGGGCATTAAAACAAATCTCGGCAAATTTAAAGAGTCAAAAATCTTCCCGTAGAGGGGTACCTGGGTGGCTCAGTCAGTTAAGCGTCCAATTTTGGCTCAGGTCGTGATCTCGCGGTTCATGAGTTTGAGTCCCGCATCAGGCTCTGCACTGGTGGTGCGGAGCCTGCTTGAGATTCTCTCTCTCCCACTCTCTGTCCCTTCCCCGTTTGCTCCCTCTGTCTCAAAATAAATAAACTTAAAAAAATAAAAAAATAAATCCTCCCAAAGAGAAAGTTCTAGATGAAAGGCCTAAATGACTTCCCTGAGGGAATTCTACCAAACATTTAAGGAAGAAGTAATACCAACTCTACACAAATTCTTCCAAGAAAATTGAAAACAAGGGAATACTTCCCAACTGATTCTATGAGGCCAGCATTACTCTGATAACAAAAGCAGGCAAAGGTATTACAAATAATGAAAATCATAGGCCAATATCCCTCACAGGCACAAATGTAAAAATTCTTAACGATATTTTATCAAATCATCCAATAACATATAAGAAGAATAGTACATCAGGGGCGCCTGGGGGACTCCGTCGGTTCAGCATCCAACTCTCGGTTTCAGCTCAGGGCATCATCTCGTGGTTCATCAGTTCAAGCCCCATGTCAGGCTCTGTGCTGACAGCAGAGACAAAACAGATGAACATAAGGGAAGGGAATAAAAATAATATAAAAACAGGGAAGGGGACAAAGCATAAGAGACTCATAAATCTGGAGAACAGAGGGTTACTGGAGGGGTTGTGGGAGGGGGATGGGCTAAATGGGGGAGGGGCATTAAGGAATCTACTCCTGAAATCACGCTGCACTATATGCTAACTAACTTAGAGGTAAGCTAAAAAATATATATGTATATAATATTTTCACTATGAATCAATTATATACAACATTAAAAAAAGAAAAATTGGGGCTCCTGGGTGGCTCAGTCTGTTGAGTATCTGACTCTTGATTTCGACTCAGGTCATGATCCCAGGGTCAAGGGATCGGGCCCTGCATTGGGCTCCACACTGAACGTGCGGCCTGCTTAAGATTCTCTCTCTCCCCTTCAGCCCCTCTCTCCCGCTCATGCGCTAAAATAAAATTTTTAAAAAGTTAAAGAAAACTTAAATAAATGGAGAGGTATACTGTGCTAAGATATCAGTTGTTCCTAAATGTATCTACAGATGCATTCCAGTCAAAATCCTAGCAGGCTTTTTGTAGAAATGGACGAACTAATTCTAAAATTCACCTGAAAGTGTGAAGACTTAGAATTGTCAGAACACTTCTGGAAAAAAAAGATTGGGGGACGTACCCTACCTGACATCAAGACTTATATGGCCAATTGATTTTTAACAAAGGTACAAAGTCTATTCAGGGGAGAAGGGATAGTCTCGTCAACAAATAGTGCTGCACAGCTGGGCATCTGCATCCAATAAAACAAACTTCAGTCTAAACTTCACACCACGTATAAAAACTCAAAATGATTTACAGACCTAAATGTAAAAGTTAAAACTGTAAAACTTCTGAGGGAGGAAAAAAAAAAAAAGAAGAAAATCTCCACGACTGACACCAAAGGCAAAATCTACGCCAAAAAAAAAAAAAAAAAAGACTTGATAAACTTAAATTCATCAAAAAACTTCTTCTCTTCGAATACACTGTTAAGGGAATGAAATTAATGGCACCAAGTCACACCCCTCGGTGACAGACACAGTGTAATAAACGTCAGCACCCCCCACTGCCTTCCTTCCCCTCCTTCTGCCCTTCACTCAGGCGGTAGACGCCCTACTGCCCCACTGAGGTCCTGTACCCCGCCTGTCTCATGGACCGTCCTGCCTGGGCCACCCCCCCACACGCCTCCTCCGTGCCCAGAGTGCTGACCTTTACAAACGCTGACCCTAGCAGGCCTCACCGCGACTTACCAGTCCTCCTGCTGCCCACAGAACCTAACGCCTTCACCATGGGCTGTCGTGACCCAGACCCAGGCCCAAACCCCTCTCTGCTTCTTTCTCCGTCCTTTACGTTCTAGGTGTCCTGGCCACCTGCAAACCCCTGGCCACGGTCTGGACTCTCAGCACCTCTGCAAGGATGTCCTGCCTGGCCTCTACCACGGGACTCCTGCTCACCCAACCTTCCGGCAAGTGATGGAATGTTCCCACAACCCTTTGTTCACACGATGAATATAAGATCAGTTGTATGTTCCAGTTTCCCTGTCTTCTCCACTGCGCTGCAAGGGGAAAAGTTTTGGTTTTTACCCTTAGTGTGCACAGAATT